TCATTCCAATTTATATATGTTAATTGGGAATAATATTTGCAAAACACTTTTCTATACATTAAAATACATTTATTTCAACATGCATCTCTTAATAAAATGATGCAAATCGAAACAAATTTTTCTCAGTGTGCTTGCTGCAGCCTTAGAAATGTTAGAAATTGAAAATCGAAAGAGTCGAATGGAGTGCAACAACAGCAAAAGCAAAAACAGGCAACTGGCAACTGGACAACCGGTATCGAAATAAAAATAGTTCGGCTCGGACTTTGAGACTTGGAGCGCGTGGCAGCCACAGGCAAACCGTCTTGGCCAGAGACATGGCCAAAACTCAAAAACCCAAACCCAAAGCCCCCAAATACCGAAAACCAAACGAGCCGAACATCAATTTGACTTTAATTAATTGTCAGAGGAGGGTTGGGCTAGATATCTTTTTGCTGAATGAATGACTGGGATGGGTTGGGATGGCTTGAACGAATGGGGTGCCCACATCCATATCGATGGCAGCTCATCTCGATTGGGGGAATTAATTTGGGTCTCGAGCCAAGTGGAGAAAGGCCTGACCCACATCAGGTGATTTCCAGGCCCTACAATAACTTCTAATTGAGATATTTAGTGTTGCTCCAAATCACAAATATCGTGACACGATTGGGGCTCGGTGGACCGACCAATCAGCAACAAAAAGTGAGCATAAAATTGACTTTTATGCCTGCTTTTCTAGCCGCTGAAAGTCTAATCATTATGGGACAGAAGAGACAATAACAATGGAGAAGATACTCTGTAGAAAGATGATGACGATCATGACGACCGAAAGCCATAAGAAAAATAATCGTAAAAGTGAGAGTTTCCACTTCATAATCAGTTTTGGCTGCGGCTTTGCCATTTGGCTTGGCTCTTTCTTTTCCTTCCACAAAAATATATATCTGAACCGTCTATATATATATAAATATATTTTCGTAGTCAAAAGTTGCTGAATCATGGAATGCAAATATCGAGCGCCTTTTTTGCTGCCGCCACGCCCCCTTATTGCGTAATGGCCGAAAGATCATGGCAATGGGAAATACTTTTAAGGTAAAATGGAAAGCTCAGAGAAATGGGGGAGGGGCGTGGCAAGTTTGGAGCATTAATTGCTCAGGTTTCACTTTCAAGGCACTTCAATTTCATTTCATTACGAAAATTTTGCCATTATCGTAATTATGATCGAGCGAGGAGGAAGCATTTCACTTTCGTTGTCAGCGTTTTGTTCTTTTGTTGGCCGAAACGAGCAGCTTGCTCTCCATTAAACGGGTTTTTGGGGCCCCTCTTGTCCGTTAATATGTTGACAATAAAGCGGCTGCAAAACCGACAACTTTCACACATTCGGTCGGTCGTTTTGGCTATTGTGCGAATAGTTGTAAATGCCACTTGAATATGACACTTTTACTGGCTTTTGGCCCAGGCCCAGATCCATTTCGCCGGCCATCCAATCTACAGCGATTGTATTATTCAATGTCAGGCGTCCAGGTTCATGTTCAACCCACTGGAAACCTCATCACGGCCACTCGCAACTTGCAACTTTTGCAACACTTTCACACACTGCACCTGGCCCACCTGCACCGTCCCATCCCTGAATCTCCGGCGCCGTGAAATGGGCAAATCCGTGAAGTGTACATTGACCCAAGCCTCCGGACCACCAACCGCTGAGCCGCCAAATGCCCAGCCAGCAAGCCAGCAAGCCAGCAAGACTACCAACTGGCGACCACAAAACCGGAAAAGCTCTTGGGGGCCCCCGGCATTGGGATTAGACCACATTGGCCACCAACTGCACTACACTGCCATCCCAAGCTTACCTGTTATTCGGGCCGTAAAAGGCTCTGTCAAAGGCACCTGTTAGTACATAGATTATAAAAATAAATAAAGAGTCATGTCAGAGTGCCTGCACCACAATTTTAATTATCCCTCTCCCATTTAAATAAATGAATGGAAACATTATTTGTTTTCAAATAAAACAGACTAAAAGGGGGAAACACAGCTTTATTTTTAGTAGAGAGAACATATGCTTTTGACTTAAAGGAGCACAAGTTCAGGTATTATTCCTATGGGACATTACAAGACAAATTATTTTCATTATTTAATATTTCATTATTTCTTTTTCAGAAAACAATAAAAAAAAGGAATCAAATAACTTGCTGAAACCATGACACTATACATTTGGATTCATTATAGGAAACATTTCATAATGGTATGTTTGCATTACCTTCTTCTATAAAATAAAGTCTGTTTACAATTCGTTAAACAAAATATCCATATGTTTAAATTTTACTATTTTATTCAAAAATATCGATATTTGTGATAAATGACTATACGTTCAGGCCCTGGTATTAAAAACGCAGTGGGTTCAGATCTTGGAAAAGAAAGTATTTACTTGGAACTTTCTCCAACAACATTGGAGTATCTGTGAAATGCTTTCGATCGCAGATTTTACACAAAACTTCAAAGAAAGTTGATGATCAAAGCTTTTCTCAGAGTCTAAGACTTGGCTTAAACTTAAAGAAAGTTAAGAAAGCAGGCTTAAGAAAATGTTATAGAATACTTTGTGGGGCCTAAAGGCAATGGCTTTGGGTTTCTGGAGACTGCCAAAAATATGCAAATATAGACCAAGTTTTTAGCTAAAATTGTTTCTTTAATGTTATTAAATGTTGTATTTCTATATCTGTTCATAAAAATCAAATTTGAATTATTTATAATGTCATTTCGTACAATTGTATATACTCTAAACAAAATATTAATCCATAGGAAAAGGATTTCTTATTCTTTTGCAAGAACATAAAACGATATATCAATCCTTAGCTAAGTGTAGTTGGGATTTTCTATAAAAGAAATTATTTATAACTTTTATTTGACCAATTTAATGTCTAATAATCGATGAAGCTTAATCGTAGACAATAAGATATGTATTTAAACACAAGTGAATTTCCTTGAATTTCCCTTAAGAAAATTCAGTTTATTTTAAAAAGAAAATATAAACACCTTAAGAACAAATATTAACCTAGACTTGATTACCTATTGCTAAATGCAAAAGTACTGAAACAATAATTTTTTTCTCATGAAACAATTAAATGTAAACAATTTCTGGGAACTCATTCAAGGGATCCAAGATATTGCTGGTGTCAGTTATCCAGAAAAAAACACAACCATTCCATACACTTTCCCTTTTTGCTGAACAGCAGCCCATTTGTGACACGATTGTATTCGGGAACGACTACGTTTTCACTGTCTCCCCAGTCTCTTCCAGTGGCGGGCAATGACTCTGCGTGTTCCTACGAGTGCGTCTGGACAATAGCAATTGATTTAAAGCGTGACACCGTCAATGGAGAACTACTTTAAGATTTCACTTGGCCAGAGCCAGCCCACTGAGAGGAGTGAATAGAGCTCTGGCCAAGTGTGTGTGAGCCTCAAAATATCGCTATAAGCGGTAAGCGGCAGCAAAGCAGAACTTTAGATGCTAAACAAATTAAACAACAAAACGCTAAAGCGGCGGCCCCAATGAGAATTCAAAAGTGCTCAAAAGCCAGTCGCGGCGACACATTAATTGCCGACGTATTTGTGTCCGAAGAAGAAAGCCAGAGTTTGTTGGGAGGAAAAGAAAAGAGTCTACGTGCTCGGGCGCATCATCCGAGATGAGATCGAGCTCATACAGCATCCGAGTGAAGAAGACTATACCAAATCGACTTGGGCCTGGTTAACTGGGTCATATTCATAAGTAAAGCACCTCAACAGCAGCCCATCAGCGGCCGTAAAGTGCCGTTTTGCCAACCGGCAACTGCAGTTACTTAGGCTCAATTGCGCCGGGCCCATTTCGATGGTCTGTCTGCTACTTTCTTTGGCCAAGAGACCAAGAGGTGTTAAGCATCGGCCCCCGGGGCAGGTGGAAAATATTAAAAATACAAGCTCCCATTGTGCAGCACTTGACGCTGGCACTGGCACCCCGCCTTGAATGAGCCAAAATGCGCGTAGCTAAATATTTGTTTTATTTTTTAGCAAATTGCCATTGTTCGTCATTCGACGGAGGAAGAAAGTGCAGTGAAAAGTGTGGATTACTCAGAAGCCGAAATAAGTGGGTGAAATTTTTGTAGGAAACATTTTCGGTGTTCGATCTTTGAGGGCTGATAGCGGATAGAGAATGAGAGAACGCACTGAATCAGCGGATGAAATGAAAGTTTTTTAGATGCAAATTGCTCAGCCAGACAACGAGGCGTATGAGTGATGCGGTCGAGGGCTGTTGAGCCGCATTGCGTATGCAAATTGAAAAGGGAAAAGTGTGTACAGATGAGAGAAAAGAGAGTCGATGTTTGTTAAGTATTTTTCGTTCATGTTTGAATTATTATTTGATTCTTTGATTTAGCAGCTTTTGTTGGGCCTTCCCGGGCGGTAAAGTGGGAGGGCCCAGATAGATGGAGGTACAGATACAGAATTGAGATACAGATACAGATAGAGATAGAGTTAGGATAGAGACAGAGATAGACATAAAGATAGAGACAGAGGTAGATGAATAGAGATGTGAGATAGATACAGTTCGATGGGCGAGGCGACTGGCTTTGATTGATGGAAGCGACTAGTTGCAAACATTTGGAGTCCATAAATCAAAGGTGCAGCCATGAAATTACAGATAGATACAGATACAGATACAGAGTGTAGAGAGAAGGAAGCGTGAAAAAGTGGTGAAATTTTTCAGGGTGGAGGTTATTGGCGGTTTTGCAGAGATGAAAGGTGGAGTTGTGTTTGCGTGTGTGTTTGTTATTTTGTGATTGTCTTGTTTAAGTTTTTTTGTTTGTTTTTTTGTTTTTGTTTGTTTGTCTAATGGAAGGCACTTTAGTTCGTCTCGTACTCGTTCTCGTTCAAGTAATAAATTAAAATAAATAATTTATAAATAAATATAAATATAGGTCATCATTTTTAGCGATTGTTTCTCTCTCTCTCCTTGGCCTTCGTCCTTGTGGGGGGTAAGTTAGCGCTGGGCCAACAATTTACCGCCTGGCGGCCTTGTAGCCCTGGTAGGCAATGGTCTGGGCCACCGGTGAGCTGTAGGCACCGTGCGAATCCCAGCCGGAGTTGCCGCCCGAGGACCATCCGGCGCTGGAGGAGCCACCGCCCGAGGACCATCCACCGGAGCTGGCAGCAGCCGAGCCGGAGTTCTTGCCGCCGAACAGACCGCCCAGACCGCCGAGCAGACCGCCGCTACCGCCGGCACCACCAAGACGACCCAGTCCGCTGGAAGCACCAGCAGCCAGAGCCAGGAAGAAGGCAATCACGGACACAACGAGGGCCTTCTTGGCCAGGAAGAGCAGGCCGAAGATGGAGCCAACACCCAGAACGGCGATCTTAGCACCAACACCCAGAAGGATGGGCAGGAACTTCTTCAGCAGCTTCTTCTTGCGGGTACGGCTCTCGACGACCAGCTCACGGAGATCGGCCTTGATGTCATCGGGAATGGCACGGGCCACGCTGCGAGCGGCATTGGCGAAGTTGAAGTTCAGGGAACGCTCGGCAAAGAAGCTCTTGGCGTTGTCCATGAAGTAGTTGCCCATCTCTGCGGTGCGGGCCTCAACGGTGGGAGCAGCCTCAACGGCCAGAGTATTGTCCAGAGATTTACCCTGACGTCCTTCGTTTGCCTTAACCAGGGAAACGCCGCCAAAGAGCTCGATCTGGGGGTTATCGAAGATAGACTTGGCCTTGCGGAAGAGCTGTGGAGTAGGAGTAAAGAGGGTCATTAATTAGAAGAGTTTCAAGGTGAACTTTTAAGGCTATTAGCTATGCAATTAAAAGTTGATTACTAATTGACAGTAAGAGAGGATCTTGTGTAAAGAAATATAAAAATGTTTAACCGGCAATAGTTAAGCATGTGATTAAGAGCAGCTTTTAAATTAACCATGAAGTTGTTTTCCTATTATCCTTTTAAGTTATTAAATCGAAAAAGTTGTATAACATTTTCAGAGCTTGTAAAAAATTGTTTAAAAAGTTTAAATTGATTTTAAAAGTGTAACAAACTGATGAGAGCTCTTTAGGAATATCATTTAGATATTTTTTTCACAACTTCCTGTTAAGTAACTATGGTTGGAAAATGAACTGTGATCTTAAGGTTGCGAAAACTTGTTAAACTTGTTGCTTAGCGGGAAGCTGTGAAAACCACTCTTAATCTTTGACACTTTCACTTAAATAGCATCCTTTGGGTCACAAGGGCTTTCACTGGCTTGATCTGGGATCAATTTATAATCTTTTTCTCTTGGTAACACTTTCACTGTTTTGAATGTTCTTTTCTCGATTTGCTTATTGATTAATGGGTAATCCTTGTGGCCTAATTAATCCGTACCGTGAGCTGCAGACACGAGATGGAATCGGCCTCGAGGCATTTGGCAAAGACACCGGATTGCTCCTCGGTGGCGGCCTTGACGGGATCGGCTGAGATGCCTGCTGCCAGGAGCAGGATGCAGGCGGTGGCTACGAAGAACTTCATGCTGGCTAAAGGGCTGATGGCTGTGTGGTTTCTGCGACTGAATTCCTTAGGCACCACCGAAATCACTGGTGTGTTCATTCGAATGGAACAAGCTGCGGTTTGATAACTTTTCGCCGCTGTCAGGCTGTTTTTAAAGAGTTTCCAACGTAGTAGCGCTCGCCTCGCAGCGCCATAACGTAAGGTTATGTAAAAAGTGCACACATACTGGCGCAGGGTTTCAGCCGGAGGAGAGCCCTCTTTTCTTCCCCCACGTGCCCCATGCTCTCTCTCTCTCTCCCACTATCTCTCTTTCCAGCTCTTTCTCTCCCTCTCTTTCTCTTGCTCAGTCTTTCTCTGTCGCAGCAGCAGCTTCCAAGCTCCCAGCTTAGAAGACGCATTAGGCAAGCGCAGGCAGCGGCTTTTGTCTGCTTCCGCATTAAAGAAAGTCTGCCACTGCCGCTGCCGCTGCGGCTGCGGCTGCGCAGTTTGCTGTCTGTCGGTGGCAGCGCTGTTAACGTCGCAGCAGGGCTTTTGGTGTATGGGAGAGCGCGAGAAAGTTTTCTGCAGAGAGCCAAAGCCAAGGTTGTCTGTCTTCTGTCTTCTCTCCCACACACACACAGACACAGTTACAGACCCACACACACACACACACACAGAGAGAAGCGAGCGCCAGAAGACGCATCTTCCAGCCTTCGGAGAAAAAAAAGAGATATAGTTGCTTCTGGAGCCTCACAGATTACAACACATGAGGTGATAAACAGGTGCTGCGCAGCTTAACCCCCTGCTTGCCGCCCGCCTTTTAACCCACAAGAAGAGCCCTCTTCCGGCCCACCATAGTCTTACCCTCGGCCCCCTCTCCCCCTTCCCAATCTTTCATACATATTCTGGTTTTTTTTTTTTTTTTGGTTAATTTTGGGAACGCTTTTGTTTTTCGTTCAGTTTGCCGCAAGAAATGAAAGTTTTGTGTGTATGATATTTTCATACTACTGTTATTTCTGGCCCCTGGTCTGTCCGTCCATCTGTCCGTCTGTCCGTCCGTCTGTCCGTCCGCCTGTCCGTCCGTGTGTCATCTCCGTTTTTGTTTATCGCATGTGCGCGCCTTGAAATTACTTTTCATTTTCATGAGTTTATTGTTGCTCTGCGTTTATTACGCAACCATAATGTGTGATTTATAATGACAGTTATATAACTGAGAAACAGGAGAGGCAAGCGGTCTAAAGGATAGTAGAATCTACGAGCTGATAGGCACGTCCTGGTCTATGGGCCTGGGCCTGGGCCTGGGCTTTCCTTTTTTGGGGAGTACAATACTCTGCCCGTTGGCAGGCAGGTGAAAACACTCGCCAACCTCTGCGGGGCAGGCATAATCAGAAGAAACGGCCTGACTCGGCAATTGTGACACATTAGTCAACAATTTGAGCTTAGCAAAAGTGCAAATAACAGCGCGCTTCAATTGCTCAAGTGAAATGAAAGAGAAATTACACGAAAAGCAAATAAAAACGGATGCGCGCAAGATGCGAGATGCGAGATGCTCGCCAAGATGATGGTCGGGTGGATCCACTGAGAGAAACATTTCATCTAGATTTTTATGCGGCAGAAGGAGTTTTAGTTGTAGATTAGGTTATATTTTCGGAGAAAATCTGAGTATATCCTTTGGGATTTGCTTAATTTCTTATATGACATTCTATTACTTTATAGTTTAAATTGAACTTATCTTTAATATTTTAACCCCTTAAATTAATATTAAATGTAAATACAAAGGATTTTGTAATAGGGACTTTTATTAATTTCTTCATTTTACTCGGGTTTATAGACTAATAATAATCTAGAAGAAAGAACTGCTTATCATACATACACATTTCCTATGAATTCTTTATCAGGATCAACAGTCGGAAAGATCTAGACATGTCCCAGATATCAGCTACCTATATAGATAAATCTTCCTTTTTAATTTCTTATCTTACAAGACAGAAACTTCTTATAGTATATATGTATTTGGATTTAGCTCAAAACCCTCTAGTCTACATTCCATTATCCCTTCTTACACACTATCTGACTTAAGAGTAGTTTCATTTTGTATTGCTTAAAGTTTTTGCTAAGATTGTAGTATAATAATTTCTTTCTCTGTGCTCCAATGGATGGATGGATGGATGGTTTCTTGGAAAGATACTCGGTAGCTCCCGTTTCAAGGTGAATGTTTGTGACTGACGACATCCGACACTATCACACGGATCTGCTGCGGTGGGGCTTACGAAACCCCTGAATCATCCGCATAATGGGTGCCAAATTGTCGATGGGGCCATGGGGCGTATGTGTAATTTGCTACCACAATTAAATCAGCTTTCAGTTGGCCGTGTGACGTCAATCTATATAGGCGCGAGCGGAGCGGTAAAAGTGTATGGCATTTCGTAACGCCACATCAACGAAAATGGGTGCAGCATCCTACTACTGGAGAGAAAATCAAAACATGCGATACGATCTTCGACTCTTTGAATTCCATTGTTGATTTTCACCGTCTGAGAGCTACAAAAACATGCAAATTCGATTGGTGTTGCACACATCCGTTTTAACAACCGAACTTATGTCGGTTCACGCGCCGAGTGTGAACGCCTCCAATTGCCAGTTGCAAGTTGCAAGTTGCCATGTGCCAAAACTATCAACCGGACGACCATGGTCCAAGCGGCCAAGAGCATGGCCAACAGGCATGGCCATTCATGCGAAAAGCAGTCGTCCACGTCCACGTTCACGTCCACGTCCAAGTGTCCAATGTGTGTGCTTTTTATGAATGAATTTCGCTCGTAGTTGGAACCTGGCGTAGTTGCCGAGTTGTTGATGTTGCTGCTGTTGCTGCTGCTGCCGCCGTGTTTGGGTGTTGCTCTTGCTGTTATTGTTTATGGCTGGCACAGAGCAGTGTAAACAAATCGCCAAGTGTCTTGAAACTCTCCGAGGGAAAAAAGAAAAACAATGTAGCACTTGTGCTGATGGCATATTACGTCAGCAAACTGACCCAATGGAAAACGAACAGTTTTTGGCCATAAACATGCACACAGATGTTGTTGTTTTTTTCCATCATATTTACTTTTCATTTCCCAAAACCCAAAGGTTAGCTTAGCAACTGGTAGATAAGGATGAGCAGTAATGCTGATGGAACCACTAGTTGCCAAGGGTTCTCTTTTTGTTTCAAGAGCAGAAAAGGGCCATTTGAATATTCTTTGTCCTTGTTATAATTTCCCAAATATTTTTGTTTATTTGTAAGATTGTCAAATATTAAGGTCATATTGAAAAGCGTTGCTAGAATGAATGTCGAGTGTAATGGGATTATAAAGTAAGCTGAATATAAGTTCAACATTAATCCTTGACCTTTTCAACTTCTTAATATATTCTATTGTTGAGCAAAGCCTTTAGCTTTTGCAAAGGGGTATTATTTAGAGTTAAAGTCCTATTAAGTAGATTAGAATGTAATGAGAGGATTCATTAATAAACAAGTATTTTCCATCTAGTAAAGCCCTAAAACCATTTATTTGTACAATATATTCACACACTTTAAATACTTTTTATAAGCAAGAGTCCTTAGCTGTAAGAAATTATTAGAAATTAACCAAAACACACTTGCATTTTCACCTCATCAAATTACATATTTGCCCACAAAAATCTTTATGTTTTAAGAAAGTTGAGCCTCAAATAACAACGCGTAGAAAATCTAAATAATTACAGTACTTATTAGGCCAGTTTCCGAATGGGTTTCAATCGGAAGATCGAAGATGCCAGCGTTCGTTCGAATTGATGATTATTTTGGGACCGCCGGAGATATCATCGTGTTCTCACTTTCATTTTGCTTGACATCAATTTGGGCTCGAGAGACTCATTAGTCGAACGACTCGAATACGACGACTACGACGATGATGATGACCGTTGTGTCCCACACAGAAGACCATTCTACTGTATTATTTATCAGCAGAGGCCCTTAATTTTTTTTCTTCTAGCCATTTGAATTAAATTAAAGCCAAATCGCTTAGCCGTGAAAGTTTTTTTCCTTTTATTTTTCTGGCTAATTTGCATAAGCGACGAAAGCATCGAGGGCGTGCATTACGGAATTCTGGATACGATCGGACAGAGTTTTGATATCTTAACGGTGCTGTTAATGTACCGTATCGAATTCACTAAAAAAAAGTTTCGACAACGCTGCCCAATTGGTAGCACAATTTCACATTGTTTGCTGACATCTTTTTTTGGCCCGCAGCTTGTACTCGTATTTTGCCAATCAATTGCCACTTTTGTGGGTGTGTTTGCCATGGTGAGGTCCGAAAAAAATTATTGTTGATTTTACATTTAATTTTGCCTTGTTCCATCTTTTTTTTTTCTGCGATGGTCATGCAAAAAGAATTCCGTGTACTCCATGTCGAGGTGTGATTGTGTGTGTATGTACGGGTTTTATTGAAAACCAGAATGGACAACAACAGAAGCATCGCAGGGCAACATCAGCGGCGAAAAATTTAATGAATAAATAACAAAAATGTTTCGGTGAAAGTCGTCGTGGCCAGAAGTAAGCCATTTACACACAGCAGCCATGGCAACAGATAAATACAGATATATATACATATATAGTATTTATAGGAAATATTTGCATTCCAATTGCTGAATGGTGCCAAGGGATCAAGGAAAGTGAAAACGGATGATGCAATTAAGTTTGGCAAAACCGGAAAAATCGTTGAGCGGCTTAAGGGAGCCAGTAAATGTAATTAAAGGTTAATATAATAAACTATGACAGGAGATTATTTTATACTTACAACGTGTGATTCAAATGCAATTCAATTTGGGAAAATATATAGGAAAAGTTTAAATGTAACCCATTTCTTGTACTCTTTAATTACTTTCCTTGACTCCCATTCAAGATAAGCATCGCTGCTGCATAATTTAATAAGTAAAAGTAAAGTTAACAAGAAACCCACGAAAGAAACACACCCTAAAAGTAAAGCAGCATCGCACCGGCCAGAGATTTCACAAAACCATAAAAATGTCAAGTTAATAGAATACATTTTCCCTTTTACGGTCATTTGAATTAATACGAAATTTGCATAATAATACCGGAAAGGGGATTATGTCTGCAGACTCCAGTGCCATCAGCCAAGATGCGAGAGCAGTAACCAGTAACCGATACGGCCAGCATTTCAAATAAAGAATTTGCGGTATTTGGGTTAAATATTAATTTACATGTGAAACGGGCAGCGGGCGCAGCATCATTGAAAAGTGAAATTTTCGAGGCAACGGCTAAAATGTAGGCTGCGTGACACTTTCAAGTCAGTCATTCAGCCGAGCTGCTTCGTCTCGGCTTGGTCATTTTCCAAGCTCATCGAACGGCGATTAATCAGCTAATTTCTTTATGAACTTTCATTTATGCAGTGTGGACTGACTGAGCTCCACACTGGCATTCACACACGTCTTGGCAGCCATCTCATCATCATCGTCATCTCATCTCGCCATCATCAGCGTGCTCATAAACTCATGAAGCTTTTATTGTCAACTCCGTGGTCGGTTGTCCGGTTAAAATCAAAGCGCACCGTTTAGAAAATCAATTCCGGAGCAACTGTCTGCGGTCTTATATAAAACACCAGTTGCCCAGATCATATACGAATTGTAAAACAACAAATTTTGCTTTTATGAACTTATTTTATAATTTAATTACAGCCGGCAGACGCGCCGCGGTTTGGTCAGCTCGACACACAAGTCGAGCTCATAAAATGCCGTTGAAAAGGGAAAGTTAACAGAAGAGCGAAGCAACCAAAGAAGCAGCAGCAGTGCACAGAGAAAAAATATATAAATTTATCCAAAAATCATCAATAATTTGCAGGTTTTTAGAGCAATACTTGACGGGGTCTTAAATATTTAGAAGTAATTTTTAATGGAGGCTGAACAAACTGATAGTTTAATCCAATTAAAGTAAAGCTATCTTTTACCATTCCTTACGTTACCTTTTTGTTTACTAAATATTATTTAATAGGCAGGAAATTGCAGTACTTAAATTGTATATATATAATTTGCAATTCCATATTTTAGTTATCAAAGTTTACATTTTTCTTTACTGTGTAGCAGAAGCAGCTCACCAGTAGACGGAGCAATTAGGCACCGGTACAAGGTTCAACATCGAGATAAGGGGCCAAGGAACTTGGAAAGGGGTACAGCAAGTTGCTTTTGGCCAAAGGTAAAGCCAAATGTAGAGGTAATGGTGTTGGTATCCCTGCCGGCCGCTTAACGGGTTTTGGCCGTTCAAGTGCTATAGCTTTTAATGGTATTGTGTAACAGAACGCACCGTTGCCAAGACGAAGAGCGAACATCTTGTTTTTGTTATTTTTTTTTTTTTGCTCCCTCCCATCTTTTGTTTTTTGGGGTCTGTCATGGCCGTAATTTGTTGTTACTGTTGTGCCCATGGCTCTTTAGGTGGTCGAAAAGAACCGTTGCCACTGCCAAAATACAGTGAAAGTTGGCCACGCATTATGCAAATTCAATCCGTATGCCAGTGTCTTCAGTATTCATGTACCAGATTCCACAGAAAATAAAAGTTTGGTCGCAGATCACCAGAGAATCCCGCTGCAGAGTATCTGAACCCTGATATCCGATATCTTGCAGATACATCGATAACACTGCACGAAAGCATACTGACAAATGACCACGAAAAAGTAAGGAGGAAATGTTACATTTTGGTGTTGAGTAAGTGAAGTGGGAATACTCTTTTGTGGGTGAAGTATCTTAGTATCTTTTCTAATATAATCTAAGAACTTTAAGCATAGATTTAGGTTGGTTAAGGTTTGACTTCTTGATTTATAGAAACATTATAGATCGATTCTCATCTCTCCTTTCAAGATGACTTTCCTTTAAGTTTCTTTAAATACTTAGATACCTTTTTAAAATTTATAAAAAGGTTTTCATTACAACATTTTTAAATAATGTAATACCTTTTTGGAATACTTCTGAACTGCAAATATAAGCTTCAGCCAAGTGCCCATCCAAATATTACCCGTTGCCAGGGTAAAGCCACTAATACAGCCGTTATGGCCATGTGTGGGTTTCCTTCTGCTGCCGCTGCTTGCTTTTTGCCGCTGCGGATGCTGTTGGCTACACAATACGAGCTCGGCACAAATAAACTTTCACCGATTTCATAAACCGAAGAGCAGCATCCAAAGGCAGCAGCAGCAGCAACAGCAGCAAAGACTGGCAACGTCTCGAGTGGCACTGCACACACTCGGTTCCACTGAACTTTAGATTAAAACCACTTGAGTTTGTTGCATGATTAATAAATTATTGAATTACTTAAGTGATACACATAAGAACTAGGGAATTAAATCCAGCCTCGGTATGCTGCGGATGCAGCCCGGCGCCTTCGCTTGTGATGATGACCATGTCCCTCACCGGTCACGTAGGATATACTGTGACTGCTCTCTCCGCCATGCTGGGAGGCTGTCTTTAGGCCCAGTATTCCGGCCATCATCAGAGCCACCATTGCCACGCCCAGGGCCTTCATGGCCAGGGCCGCAATTCCGCCCAGGCCCATAACGGCCATTGCCTTGCCAAACATCAGAGCCATGGCCAGCAGCATGCCCTGGCCTTTGTCCTTTTTTCGTGCCTCTGGAACAATCAAAAATACATTTTATGAGCATGTGACTTGGAAGCATCCTTCAAGGCAATGCAGATACCATTGGCCAGCCAAGTGCCTTTTGATTTCATGCAAATATTTGACATTTCGATTGGTGCCGAATGTCAAAGCACTGCGGTAGATACATCAATAGATTCAAATATGAATTTGAACGTTAAATGGAAATTCAATAATTGTACAAGGAATGGGAGAGGACATCGGACATTATTGGAATAAATACAAATAGATAGAAGAAACATTTCTGATTACCAAGGAAACGTATTAATTACTTAAGGACTTTAAGGCCACAGTAAAGATACTAGTGGAAAATATTTGTTGAAAAACGTGTTTAAATTGTCAAATGGAAATCACTGATTTGTATTTACGCAAAGTTCAACTGAGACGTTTTAGTGTGTTTTAAGCCTATTAGAGACATTCTTGGCATTATTTTTTTGATTTAAATCTTCCTTGTTTCACTTTCAAAAGCAGTAAATGTTTTCATTTCCTTCAAAGTTCCTTAAACACGCTTCATTCCTTATTCCACGCACCTGAAACATGCGCCTCATCCTCTAGAAGATCTGCAAGCTTCACATTAACCTCGTGCGTTCGCAGATAGAAGGACAGACTATCCAGCAGGCTCTGATCCGGCTCCTCCTCCGTCATTGAGGCATTTAGGGGAACTATCTCCAGACCCTTGACCACAACCAAGGGCTTATCGCTGCGATTCAAATTCCGCAGGACATTGCGCAAGGCTCGTTCACCGCGGCAATACAACGTGACACTTGCGTCCTGGTCACAGTTTTCCGCACGCACAATCACCGAGGAGAGCAGCAGCAGCAGCAGAAGGCTGAGTAGCGGAAAAACACGGAACATGTTGCCGAAACGCTTCAAGTTCAACTAAAAGCCTTGACAATTGCCTGGTCATATTTTATAGCTCCCATTTCCACGGGAGCACGGGGGAGCACTTTCCCAGGTGGCCACCGCACAGGGGGTTAGACCCAGTCAAGCATCCCCGTCCGAATTGTCACAACAATTGTAAATTAAAACAATGGTGCTTCTGAAAAGAAAGAAAAGTGCTTTCAGTTTGCGTTTCTCTGCCTTTGTTTTCTTTCCCGGGCCGTGCAATTTTCTTCTTCACTGGCCGTTGCAATTTTTCCAATTTTCAACGGTCAGTTGGTCGGCCGCCGTGGGATGCGCATGGCTGCCCCCTTTCCACCAACTAGCAACCAAACCACTTGGCATTTGGTTCACCCGACTCGTCGGCTCTCTGCCAAATTATACAGATTAGAAGTGCTTAAAGTGCTGCGGGTTTGTTCCTATTCCACACCTGCCACCTCCTGCGCCACTTCACACGGTTCTTGGTCGGCCCAGACAACTCCATTAGTCCGGCTGGCTGGCTGGGGAGCGTGTTAGCCGAAAAAAGCGAAAGTTACCCCGCCCGAGAGATGAGCAAAGAGCCAAGTTATAACGTTTAGTAGCTATTTGTAGCTATAGCCATAAAAATGGGTCGCCCGACCGTGGAAGGGGTACCTCTGTGCCTCGTGCGTATAATGTGGCTGTAACTCAATTAGCGGTGCAAAATAAATCAAAAATTAGTACGCTTACTGGTTTGTAATAATACCAGCTAATAAATTAAAAGTGCTCCGGGAATCAATATGTTATATATTGATAAATCAAGTTTATTGTTCGTTAATGATTAGAATTTAAGCATATAATTACTGCTCACCTAATAATTATTGTTGGTACCACATTTAACCCAGATTCGTGCGCAGCTTTTATTCTCTAAACTAAATTTCATTAAAAAGGTACATTATAATTAGCGTTCTTTATTCTTAAACTGGGTCAACCTACATATCAGAAGAGGTGGAAATATAACGCCCTGCTTGCAACATGGTGGCATAATTCAATTAGACAGAGAGACACAGTCTTCTGGGGGATTTCATAAGATGTGGCCCGGGTTTTTGGGTATTTTGTAATACCGCCAAACTTATTAATCAAGTTAACGTGACTTGGGGGTCCATCGGGCGAGCGAAAGAAATCAACTTGGCGCTCCGTTCCTCATCATCATCATCACTGCCATTTCTTCCCCCTCTCGGTGGAGCGAAGCTGCTGGCGATGATGATCGACTCGACTCCAAAAAGCAATAACTTTCACTCTCAATGTATTAATTTTTATATTTATCATATTGTTGTTCAAAACAAACACACGCACACACACACACGGGTACCATGATTTCTGAAAATTTGGAAACCCCGAACGATGTAAGAAAAAATTAAACAACAAAACAAGTCGTCCGTTATTGAGCCGAACTGGCAGCAAGTCAACCAAAAATTGATCTGAACTCGTTACGTTTGCCTTGTGTCGGTGCCGGCAATAAAAAGAAAGTATCTCCCCCTGGCAGATCATCAGCTCCGACTGCGACTTTGACTCCATCTCCATCTCTCCATCCGAATCTCGAATCTTGCATCTCTCGAAAGCAGACATCGTTCGATTCGATTCATTTGAGAGCGGGGGTCTTTGTGACCGCTGTTTTGTTCCCAGCGTGAATCCGAATCTGTATCCGAGTATCCCAGTATCCCAGTATCCCAGCCTCCCAACTTGTTATAATTGATTGTTGTGCAGCATCATCATCGTGGTCGGCGTCATCGTCATTAAAGCATCTCATTTGCCACACATTCAATTGAATATCCCCCAATCCAGTGTGGTGCAATGTGCAATGTGCATTGTGCCGCCCGGAATCGGTCTGATTGAATGAGGCAGCAAATGTGGGTGGAAATTGTGCGGGGAGTGAGCAGGTGTGAGGGTGTCCAATTGGAGGTGGCTCAGCAGACAGTTTTGGCTTAAATTGCTGCCATAATGAGAAATCAAAATGTATCTCTGGCTGACAACTCACTTTTAAGCTTTATGTATATTTTTCCTGATTGATTTTAGGCAGATTTTATATTGACCTGACTTTATATTTACCACAAAATATATTAAGTATAATATATTCCACAAGAAGATGCATAAAAGCTAAGTCAAATTTGTCCTGTGATCCAATTTTAATCCTCCAAGGTACACAAATTTATTAGTAGAACATTAGAAAGTGTATTAAAAGATTGACATAGTATATACATAAATACTCCAATTACAGAGAATCAATTTACTTGCCTATAATATATATAAACTAGTTTTATTGGTACCCACTTTTCGAGGTTCCACTGTTTCCCCACTGCTCCCAAAAGTCTGCCAAGCTTGGTGTTGTTCCCGACACACCGCAAAGTATACCTTAAAGTTTAAGACCACCAAGCTGCTTGCTAACTGCATCGCAATGAATACAAAAACCGAGTCAACATCCTGCGGCTTTTCCGCGGCAAAAGCGTTGGCAAAAAGGAAAACACAGCTGCGCCTGAAAACTAGTGGCAGCAGCCAACTAATTTGGGAGCCCAATAGCTATTGCTATGGCAACTGGAAAGACAAGACCACAAATTTACTTTTCTTATGACACGCACAGGTGAAATCAAACATAAATATGTTTTTAATTATAAAACAATTAGATTAAAATAAATTAAACGTATCGCTGGGCTCAGGCAATCGATTAGCCAAGTGAAGAAAAAAAAAACAAACGAACGAAGAAAATAAACAAGATGCAGAGCCATTAAAACGCAAGGGAAATTCGTGCCGGTGAAAATAAAGCAGCGGCAAACCGCAGAAAATCAACATCAACAACAGCAGATAAACCAAAACAACCGGAGCAGTTCAAACTGCGTCTGTAATTGCCGTCGAAATAAACAATATTATTATTATAGTTATTGTTATTGTTATCTTTACAGTCCGGGCATAAGCAAAATACAAACATTTTGGAATGGCTTTAATTGGGCTTATTTCAAAGCCGTCTGCATTTTTCGCATGACTCGTGACAATTTCGCTTTGATTGACTGCCAAAGAGTCAATTTGTCCGTCAGCCCTGACAGATCCGGTGGTCATGGTGCGATGAGAGGCTTAAATCTGTGGGCGAGTCACCTGGCATACTCTAGAGTCCAGAGGAGGCTTAGGATGGGGAAGGATTACTTCTCAAGGGTACTCGCTTTTGAGACTTGAGACCAAAACTTGAGAGCCAAGAGGGATCTTTGTCGAATACAAATTAAGCTTCAGTTGGAATTAAGCTGCAATTGGGGATGCAATCAGTTCTACATGGAATCACTTGATTTCCTATAAATTGATATTTAAATGAAATCTTGAAAGGAACTTGCCTATGCAGTTCTAACACAGATACAACAAATTACATAAAATGTTTTCTTTTTTAAGAAGAGAGAATCTGCTTCTTTGTAACACACTAAACTATTGTGATTTTCTTTATCAAGAGATAAAGTTTTCGGGTGTTTTATGTTTATAAAAACTTCTTAAAATTATACTAGATCTATGGTTAATTTAAACAAGAGAATCTAGAGAGAGAAAATGCTTCTTTGTAACACACTAAAGTATATTTCTCTCTGTGTGGCTTTTTGTCTTATCCCTTTGGTCCACTTTAAAGAACATTGTGATTTCCTTTATCAACAGACAAAGTTTTTCGGTGTCCAAACAATTTGGGTGTATAGCTGTTCGGTAAGGGAAGTTTTCTTGCGACAAACTTTGAATCTGCACTTGTCGAACTTCTTGATTAGATTTTTATTTATTGAAAGCAATGCCTTGTCCCTCGACTGGTTACAATTCGATTAAAATGCAAGGCCAGTGAAAAGTGAAAAGCCTTTGGCCGGAGATATATGATTAAATTTGCTCTGGCTACTTTTAGTTTCACTTAAAAGCATTGGAAATATTGAAATCAGAGCCAATTAAGGCGAAGAAGCCGCTGGCTGCCTTTTTGGACACGGGACTCCTATTCCGACTGTGACTCCACCCAGCGGATCCGGTTGCAGTCAAGGATCATTAAACTTCGGTGGCACACGTAAACCCAAAGACACACACACAGAAAACTGGAGCAGCAGATAGCTGGCTGGATAGAAAGATGGCTAGATGGGTGGATTGGCTTGGATTGGATTACCTCTTTCGGGCTGCGTCACCGCTTTCCTTTCGATGTCCATCACGGCTTTTGGCCTCAACCTTGTACATTGTTGCTGCGTTTGGACAATGTTGCTACGTTTGCTAATGCACTTGAAGAAATTTTGATCAATTGGAGTTAATTTTTGTGATTAAATATATATTAGATGGTTCAGATCTAGTTGGGAAATATGAAGATAAACATAGAAAGAACACTTTAGCATCATTTCACTTAAAGTAAGGTTAGCGTAAAGAACTCAAAAATACTTATGTAAAATTATCACTTTTATGTTATAACATTTGTATTTTGTTGTCTGTATTATTGGTGGTGGGCTTTCTTGGCGAACCGCCTCGCATTACTTGCACTTTTGCGGCATTGGCCAACGAACGTTGGATGGTGTCAAGTTGCCAATGCCGCGGCCATTCAGATTACAGTCATTACACTCACAGTGGATCCTCGGCCAGATAAAGCAGCAGCTGAATGGCCCCTGAAGAGTGTTGAAATGGTGCCACTGTGAAAGAACGAACGGTCGAGGTCTGATTGCCACTGCCTCAAAATTGGCCACAATTACCGAGCTCGGTGCCTGCGTGCCAATGCCTGGCTGGCTGACTGGCTGGTTGGCTGGAAAAGTGAATATTTATTAGTCCCGCTCATCATGCACCGACGAAAAGTATTACCACCTTCCCCCTGCTCAGCAGAATGTAACTGAGGCGGCGATTTATAAAAAAACGAGAGCTATTAGTTCGTTTCACTTTTCTTTTATTATTTATTTATTTATTGTGAACAGGCGCCGAGGCGTGGCCACATCTCGAGCCTCCGTTTCAGCCTCAGCTTCAGTCTGAGCCTGTGATTTTCCACCCACCACCTCCCCCAAGTGGCGATTTAATTGTACCCGTACTCGAACTGCTTTTACTTTTGCCTGCGAAAATTGTTTCACTGCAAGTTGCGGGCAAATTAATGAGCAGTAAATTAGCCGCATTAGTACAGCGGCCACATGCCGCGGACGCCGTCAAAGCCACTGGCTTTTCTGCCATTCTGCCACGGCCACTGCCACTGCCACTGCCTTTAGCAAAGCCATTGCCACTGACATGGCCATAACTCCAGCTCATCTGGCCAAGAGACGTGAGAGTGGGCCCTCCTATGTTACTCATGTATAGGTCAAAGTTCGACAGTAATGTCATGTGGTTAATGAAATTGCAGTTAATTAAGTCACCCTTTTCAACCTTTCGGGAATGCATGTAACTCAGAAGCATCATATGCAAAAAGCAAAAGCAAATTACTAAGCACTGCGTTGGGTCTGATTTTTACACTGGGGCAAATTCAATTAAATCAGTTATGAAAAAATAGTCTTATTTTACTCAAGGTATTTTAACTAAGCCCGTGGAATAATTCTAAAATTGTTATAAAACAAAAATACCGAAATAAAGATAGCCTTGCATTTCGAATTGAAAATTGATCATAAGAAAGCTTAAAATTCAAATTCGCTTTCTTTAAATCGATATTTATCAATATTTTTATATGACAATTTTTTCTTCAAATAAATCCTTAAAAATCTCATTGCTCGGCCAAAAAAGCATTAATTTTGATTCGGAAAGATTTCCTTTGCTAGTTTTTTTTAGGTTAAAAAATTTGCATACTCAATTTAAAATGTAAAAAGATTAAATTTCTCCCAATTTTTGACAATTTTAACCCCTTATACATTTATTAAAATTTTCAAAAAATTCAAATTTAGTCGGACATAGCTAGATCGATTCGGCTATTGATGCTGATCAAGAATATATGCGATTTATATGGTCGAAAATGACTCCTTGACCTTCTCCCTTCTGACTAAAATTGTAATACCCTTTTAAGGGTAAACAAATTTGTAAATAGATTTATATAAAACAAGGCAGAGGCGAAAATTTTTAATTTAAATGAATAATTTAAAAGCCTTTGGCCACTGTGCTCTTGCAACGAAATACTGCGATACTGAGCGATAGCCGTCACTCAGCTGGTTGACTTGAAATCAAAACTGTAGCAAACACGGGCGGCATTGTCGGTGATGGTGCTGGTGGGATGGTGATGGCTAAGTGGTGGTGGTAATAGTGACTGTGGTGCAGTGGCAGCCAGTGGGGCTGCACGCAGCTTGGTCGGATGCTGCTGCTGCCGCTGCTCCAATAAAACTGAGTTGCATGCAACCGCTGGTAATTAGTCGCAACAAGGCGCTGCATCAGCTGCCATCGAATCACGAGCATTTCGCATTCGCATCCATGTGAAGGATACGCCGCGCCCGTCTTTCCATCTCCAGTGTCGTGTGTTGTGGGGTGTTCTTTATTAAAAAAAAAGTTGAAACATAAAAGGGAATAATATCCTGAAAATGCCAAACCACTTAGTTGCCAGCTGCATTTTGCTGGCTCTCAGCCTGAATCTGAGCATTCGTCCTGCGCTTGCAGCCATACACAAGCGAAGTGGCGCCAATTCCCTGGGAGTGGAACCGGAGGCGAAGCCTGCGGCTAGTCCTGCGGCCAGCGTGGAGAACACAGACCTCCTGGACAAGCTCAGTTGGAAGTGTGCAAACAATGCCAGCTGCCTCTATGGCGTGGCCAACGGCATTATGGCCTCCTATCGTCGCGGCGAGACCATCAAGCTGGGCCTCTTTGACCTGGTCAAGCTGCCCGAGCTGGATGCCTCGCACAAGCACAAATGGGGCACAGGGCGGGGTCTCTCCAGCTTCATGGACTTTGTCACCGGCAATGCCATCCGGGTCCCCGTGGGGCCAATGGTCTTCAGTGTGCAGCGAGCCGAGGACGACAGCGAATATATCGAGGTGGCGTTGCTGAAGAAGGCATCGAGTGGAACAGGTAAAGAGATTGGGTGACATCTGTCCGACATCCACGCGAGAGCCATTGACACGCGGTGGGCGGACTTAACCAGATGATCCTGTTTGGCATTCGGACGACTGTTGACTGTCAACTGTGACAAGACTGTGACATAGTCATACACTTAGGGAATAATAGGGGAAAGAGAAGACGAATTTGGGTTTACACACACACTTAATATAAAGAAGAAAAGGTACATATGTGGATTTTATCTAAGCAATTTAAAGAAAGATGAAGAAGACATAACCAAAATAATCTCAATACTTTATCTATAACTATTCTAATGCACAGATTGAGATTCTATTAAATTAATTTATAGGTAAAACACTAGTTTCTTTTGAGAAAATCTCACAAACTTCCCGATTTACGGTCTACTAGTCTTTTAAAAGTTTTCTAGTTTTCTCAAAATTGGGTAAAAAGTACAAGTAAAATTTTTTTTTATTATTTCCCATAGAGAAGTGCTAAATATTTGATCATGTAGGAAACCTCCAAGATTCGGTCAAGATTGTTTAGACATATCCTTCCGGAGAGACTCCGTCAAACTTGACTCCTCGTCCGATGCATATCAATGACTTTGTCGGGACCAAACTTCCATTATTTATCCCCATTTAATCTGACGTTCGATACACAAGACATCACCGCATCAATCATACTACATCTCGTGACAGGAGAGGGGCGGGCCAATCAAAGCCCGTCCCATGTCGCAATATTACGTATACGTACGAGTGCCATTACAGCCATAAAGCCTAAAACGTGTCTTGTTTCCCTAAAATCAACAAACAGGACGCCTGCAAGGCAACGGACTCCTTGGTGGAGGAAACGGTGGCGGTGGTTTTATGGGCGGCGGAGGTGACAACGGTGGAGGCGGAATTCTGGGTAACCGAAAGCGTAAACAGCAGCAGGACAAGAAACAGTTCCAGATGTACATACCAATGTACCTGGCAGCCACCACATTTGGCTGGACAATGGTGGTGGCCAAGTCTGTGGGTCTGCTGACTCTGAAGGCCCTGATACTGTCCAAGATTGCCTTTGTGGTGGCTGCAGTTCTGCTGATCAGGAGACTTATGGACAACGTCAACGAAAGGTGACTCTATTATGAATGAAGTTTAAAGAAATCGTTTTAAAATATCTTAAATATTTGAATTGCTTAACAGGGTGTATCCCTTTCCGGAACAGACGCCCTACATGATGCCCTATGGCATTGACTATCCGCTGCATGGCGCTGAGATTGCACCAGAAATGTATCCTGCCTCGCTGCATCACCTGGCGATAGCGGGCGGTGGCCAGCTGCCCGGGCATCCAGGTCATCCGGGCCTGGAGAGCCTGAGCGCTGAGAGCCACCTGCATTCCGCCCAGGTGTCCAGCGATGGTAGTAACAACACGCAAGTGTTGGCCTCTCTGGGCGGTCTCAGCGCCTTGGCCCACAAGATCAAGCGTGAGGACTCGTGGTTGGCGAAGAGTAAGTGTAAGTTTATCCAGTGTTCTCCATATTTCAGGCAGTCGGGGAAGGGGTAGAGAGCCTAGGCATCCCAAAGAGTCCCAATTTTTCCGTAACTCCATGGCCGGAGTGAACTCCCTGAATGCGCATGCCGTGGCTGTTGCAGCTGCTGCAGCCGACGGTGCCGTAGAGGATGAGGACTATGAGGAGGAAGACACATTGGGTATGGGTTTTGTTTCGGGGTTCACAGCGTCACTAATTTCTTGGGCGCACAATAACAAAAAATGGTATATTTTTAGGCAGCCTTGATTTGGCAAAAGAAAACACGAAATAGTACAAATCTTGGTTATCAGAGCAAGATTGCACAACTGTGTATATGTGATTATCTCTCTCAACTTTATGATTTTCCAACTGAGAATCTGGTTTTACGTTTTTTCTATATATCAAAACTCGGTGTGAAGTGAAGCACTTCTAAAACCACTTGCATACTTTTCTGCCACAGAGCATATTTAAGCTCGTTGCACGTTCATTATTAAGTTGATGTGTTGCACAAACATAACAGATGCTGTAAATTTCCAATGAACAACACAATTAATGGCAGTCAGGGAGTTTACCCGGCTCTACCCTTAATCTCTTGACCTGTATCCTTTACACGTGAGTGCACACAGATGAGCTTCCATCACTCCTACTCCAAGTTCGAGGAACTAGGAGGTGCCAATTACTCGACTGATTAATGTGGAAATCCACTCCCGTTGCAGCCACACCCGCTCGGCGACCGTTAATCTATAACTACGTGCAGCCGCAGATGCCTTACTACCGCTCCTGAGGCGACAATTAGCCAATTAGCAGCTACCAAAGACCGCGTGGGTAGCGGAAGGCCGGAGGTCGAAACATTAGATGGTTAGAAGGTGGCTATGCTGCCATAAGGACACCGAATATCGGACATCGCAAAAGGGCATCGAACGTGCTCCGGGCTGCTCTCAACCCGATGAGCTTACGTCTCGATATTATTTATTAAATCGTACTTAACTTAGTGAAACCTTGCGCACACATTTAGTCTAGTTCAATGTATCTGTAATTAGCAGTTGAAGTGCTACATAAACTAAAAAAAAAGAAACAATTATAAAGAATTGAGCACAAAGTTGTTCAGAAATTATAATCGCTTGCGTTTTATTTATGCAATAAATATTAATAAGTAAATAAATTAAGAGTACGTATAAATAAATTACAATTGAGAGAATGAGCGTCATTGAGAAAATGGAAAAGTGAAAGTGAGTGAGAGTGAGAGAATAGCTAAAGCTAAAGCGACAGACTGAGACATAAGGGGAGACAGTGTGAGAAAGAGAAAAATATCGTAATTCTAAGGGAAAGTAGAGAGAAAGCATCGCTTTCAAGAGATCCAGAGAGAAAAAGAGAGAGACGGATAAAGTGAGAGCTAGAGAGCGTGTGAGAGAAGTTTCCCCAAGCCAGTGTTAGAGGAAAACCCAATTTAGTTCATTCCTGATCTAATGACATACATAACAAGTTACTCGTGCTCTGCGAACCGACTTTATTGCACCACTTTCCCCGGCTGCTGGCCGCTGTAGGCCAGATTCTGGGCCTGCTCCTGCTGGTGCTGCACCTCCTTGGCCAGGATATCGGCGGGTACATCCACCAGTCCCTCCACGAACCCATCGAAGGCCCTCGACCAGCCAGAGCTGTAGCTGTCGTGGTGCGATGGCACCTCCACGATGGTCTTCTTGCTGGACAGCAGTTTCTTCAGCGAAATGATTACCGCCAACAGCAGGGCGATCTTTGACACGATCAGCGCCTTACCAGCCAGCAGGAAAAGACCCTTGAGGAGCAATGCTCCCACCATACCCGTCTTTGCCATCATCATCATGACCAGTGGTCCCATGTTCTTCATCTTGCCACGCCCCTCCTGAATGGCCTCCAGCGGACGCACGGACACGCCCACATTCAGACTACCCGCCGGATCGCTGCTCATCACAAAGTCCGCATTCTCCGAGAAACTGTAACGCAGGGAGCGAGAGCGGATGAACTTCCACAGCTTGTTGGCCATCAGCAGAGCAAATGTCTCCTCATCGGAGCCCATGGAGCGGGCCAGTAACTGGTTTACCTCCGGATCATCCGGCACCATCGAGATGTTCCTGTGAATGAGATGAATGTAGCAAGGAAACAAATCGTAATAACTTTAGAGTTGCCAATTCTGATCACACAAATGAAATCATTTTCACAACCAATTTATATCCTTTTACTTGTTAAACTTAATGTTCAGATTACCTATTTTGTAATTTTATAAAATCTATATTTTAAATGTATGTTTTGTATTAATAATGTTTGGTAACTTACCAGTTCTCTGTGACCTTTACACGATCACCGAGGTCTAGTCTAGTGTTCAGGTACAGATGATTCATAACAATTGACATCTTGATCATTCTGCAGGCTCGATCGTCCTCCTGCCTGCAATTTTGTTTTAACTTGGCCAGCAGAAAGTCCTCGATATTCCGACGCTCGTCGTCCGTTATCTGAAAGTAGATTGGGTTTATGCTAGAACTTTAAAAAGTTTTAAATTTTAAATATAAGATTTGAATTTAATTATATAACAGTGAACTATAGGGACTTTAATATGGAAATGTTGCATACATTTTCTCAAGCTAATTTTTGTTTTGGGAAAGCTTTTCTTCTGGAGGTCAATTTAAAAGTAAAGTAAATCTGCATGCAGTTACATTACTTAGTTGAGGATTGTATTACTTTCATTAAAGAAACGTATGTCTTTAATAATTGAATACGATAAAGTATGCTTTACTTTGTGATTGTTAAATAGCTAAATTTATTAATACGTTCAAAATACATTTTGCCCTTAGCAATCAGCTTTAAGAAGGTGCACAATGTCAATCCTTAATACCTATAACAGGTATTTTATCTTATCCCTTAATATTCTCCAAGGCAACCCAAGGCGATGAACTTTAAGATAAAGCCATAAATTTGGACAGCACAAAACAGGGTCGCTGGCTTTTCCTGAGCTCAAAGCTGGGGGCCCAACACTTTATCCTTGTCAGTGACAATTAATGTCCGAGTTATCGCCGAGTCCTGCATCTTTTTTCCCCGGAACTTCCGAGGACCTTGGCTTACCGTGACAGTGCCATCCCTCCGCTTGCTGCCTCGGGCGGAGACAAGGACGCAGAAGAACGCCAGCAGCGTGCAGACCTTAAATCCTTGCATCGTCTGTTTTTTTTGCTTGGTATTTTTCCTTTAGTTTACACTCTCGTTTCACAGCGTTTAATGTCGATTCTTAATCACGCTTAGTATCACTGCAGTCTAATGTCTCACTCATATATATTTGGGAGATTTTATTTCAGTATATCCTGACGTTATCCTTTCCACACTCGAACACACACACTCTCACAAAACGCCCGCGTCTTCGCTCTGCTAGAATGCTACGCTCTTGCTGTTGACATCGTCGCCTTGATAGAAAGAAAACCTAATGCGAATTTTCCGCCAGTGATTTCGATTTTATATGAAAAGCGACCGAAAGCACCGCAAACGCAATACAGGTCTCTGCCTCGGTCGACGCTGGCGTTTTTGTCTTTGCGGGGCACTTGAAGTTGATTCCGCAAACCTGGAACCAGAAACTGGTCGCCAAAAAGACTGGCTTCGCTCCTCGTATAGAGCCACTAGCCACTTGGCCAGTTTCGGTGGATTCTACCAGCTACCAGCTACCAGGTACCAGATACCAGCTTCCGCGGCCTTGTCCCCGAACTTGCCACCAGCCCGTGACTTTGTCTAGGTTTGTCTTTGCCCCGGCTTTGTTTTCTTTTGCCCGCGTGGGCTGTTGTCAACGAAAACAGAAAAGACAAAAAGAAAACAAAGCCAGCCGAAAGTAAACAACAGACCTAATTCCCAACAACAAGGGGCCCGATTTTCCCACACAAGCAGCATCTGCTTTGGAAAAGTGGGCAGCGAATTAGCGGGGAAAATCAGCCTGCTATTGACAACACGCATGCAAACCTGAAAACTTTTCAGTCACTTCAATTAGTCAAAGGCTTTTCATACCCCGAGGCAGCAGCACCCTCACACAGGGGCGTTGTCTAAGGGGAAAGGGGGTAAAATATAATGTATGACCTAGTAATTAACTCTTTAAATAATATCGTTGTTTGATTAAGTTTCCTTAAAGGCATTCTTATTATTCAATAAGGATGATACATTTTAAAAAGAGGAGCTCTCAATTAAGTACTTACATTAAATGTAAGCAATTCTTCATTGACTTCTTTGACTCAACTTTTTCTTATGGAAATATGACCAAAAGTTTCTTCTTTTTAATTCGGTTTGTACATAATATGTACTTCATACTCTATTTACTCTTCCAATTACTTATTATTCCCACAACCGTTTAATTTTCCTTTCTTATATTACATTTTTCGAGCCCCCCGTAGACAATGTCCCCTGCTGCCTTTCAATTGCGGTGTTGCGGTGAAAACTCGTGTTCTTTTTCCACTGCCAAGGGACCACCCTTCGTAGCCAGCAATTTGCTAACGCCGCACGCGAGCTGCATTCCGGTGGGCCGGGTCTTTTGCTCTCAGCCGGAACCGATTAAGACCGGGCGTAATTTATTGCATTTATTACGGATCCCGATGTGTCCCGAGGGCGTGGCGGCCCAACAGGTTGCTCGGTGGCCCACTGGCCATTTACCAAGGAAATTCAATCAATTTTCCCCTCCTCCCGCCCAGACGAAAAGTTATTGCTCGCACCGAAAATTGGCGGCCAACCGCAAAAAAGTTGTTCGAATTTCCACGGAACTGGAAGTAGGCTAGCCGGCTGGCCGGGCTAGACAGTAGTGAGTCGCAAAAGTGGGACGCCAGGCCAGGCCACGAAAGTGCCGTGTGCTCATGTGGTAGCAGAAACCGCTAGCCGATCTGTCCGTAAGCCACCTCGGATGCACCACCTCCTGCTCCACCGATCGGAGCTCCCAAATCAAGTCACACCAAAATCAAATTGTGTCCGTCCAAGCCACTTGTGGCAGTTACTGCACTGAGAGAATATGTATATCGCTTAGATTTAAATTAAAAAGTATATACAAAATATTATAGATATTATATTATAAATATTAAAGTTATAGATATAAATATTGCCTTGAGTTTTTCCTTGTGCAGCTTCTAGACTGCCTAACTGGTCTCCCGTCAGAGTCATAACAATTTCTCAATCTAAAGCAAGCCGCCTGGCAGCCCAATAGTAGTGGCCGGAGCGCTTTCTTTCGGAAAATGTGGTCCAGGCCAGTCGGCTCCTCCGACGGCGTTGACAACGCCAGACGCCAGGCTACTCAGCTCCCCAACTCCCCAACTCCCCAGCTACCAATATCAATGTTTTGGCGTTAACATTGACTTTGAAGTTGGCCAGGTGAGCAGGAGGCAGTTCGACCAGTTTTAGGGGACTCCAGATACCTATTTTTCCAAAAAAGGAATTTTATTAATTACCTTTATATAATTTTTCGTTTATTTGTTTCAAAAGCAAGGAGTTTTAAAATTCAATATAATATATATATTCTAATAAGTTATTTACAAATGTACAACATTCCTTATTATATACCATAGCTTATTTCAAAAGCCATGATGCCTACACATATTGTTTAAAAATCCGTAATTTTTATACCCTTGCAGGGTATTATAATTTCAGTCAGAAGTTTGCAACGCAGTGAAGGAGGCACCTCCGACCATATAAAGTATATATATTCTTGATCAGGATCAACAGCCGAGTCGATCTAGCCATGTCCGTCTGTCCGTCTGTCCGTCTGTCCTTCTGTCCGTCTGTCCGTCTGTCCGTCTGTCCGTCTGTCCGTTTCTACGCAAACTAGTCTCTCAGTTTTGAAGCTATCTGAATGAAACTTTGTAGTTAGTCTTCTATATACTCTCACTCGTATATATGTCGGAACGGGCCGGATCGGACGACTATATCATATAGCTGCCATAGGAATGATTGGAAAATTTTTACAAAAAAAATTTTAACATTTTCAGTTTTCAATAGAATTGGATCAAATTTGAGATATAGCCATTTTACTATACTCTACAATTTGTGTAAAATTTTATGAAAATCGGACTACTATATCATATAGCTCCCATAGGAACGATCGAGAAATTAATACAATTAAAAATTATAACTTTTTCAGTTTTCAACAGATTTTCATAAAATTTGAGGTGTAGCCATTTTATATTAGTCTTAAATTTTGTGTCAAATTTCATGAAAATCGGACGACTATATCATATAGGTGCCATACAAACTATTGTTTGATGTAGAAGAAAAATGGAAATCTGTGAACGAAAAGCTGCAAATATAATATGTATAGGTGAATGAAATGAAAGCAGGTATTACTTCATTGTTTTTTAACACAAATATATATAATTTATATGGTATGGATTCCTAGTCATAGAATTTCTATCTGCAAGGGTATATAAACTTCGGCGTGCCGAAGTTAGCTTCCTTTCTTGTTTAATTTAAATTAAATTTTTTGTTTTCCTTCTTGTTAGTTTAATAATTTCTGTTTTATTCCAAGGAATTAATTCAATATTTTAAAGCCCGCTTCAGCATTTGCTTATTCTATTTTTTAATCCTTTCCTTTTTCTCAATGCTTTCTTTCATGTCAAATTAAATAAAAATTCTTAAATAGCTGAACATTCTTTTCAATCAATTTCATAGTAAGAAATTATAGTAGAGGTGCTCAAAATATACATTTTCCACTATCTCTAGATTCTATTCAATCAATATTCTTTGTAAGAAATTATTACCTGTAGGTGCTCACTTTAATTATTCCCACTTTAATTGATTACCAATCTACCCAAGCGCTATGGCAACCCTCGCCTGGAAAAAGCAGAAACCAAAATAAAAAACATGTCAGTCCACTTTTCCTCAGTTTCTCGCCTCACCATTTCATTGCCTTAATTAAAAGCTGCATTTTATTTGTAACAGCTTCAGTGCGAGTAAAAGCAGAGCAAGTGCAGAATTTGGAAAAACGATTCAAAGTGAAATTGTTGCCATTAATTGGAAATTGCGCTGCCACCTTGCCCGGCGGCAAGCACCAGCTTCCTTCCTCCTTCCCCAGTTAAAAAAAAGTAATTGCCTTTCAATTTTAGCTTGGTTTTTTATTTACAAATAGCGGAATAAATATTCTTATAGGAATGCAACAAGGCCAAGGGGCCGAATAAATAACAACGCGGTGACGACCCGTCGAAGTTAGCTCTTCTGAGGCGTCTGCTGCTGGGGCTCGGCGGCGATGTCCTTGCCGGAGTTGCGTCCGTAGTAGCCATTGTAGGCTGCCTCCTGGGGATCCCCAAAGCTCACGGAATTTCCGGCCACCTGCTGCTGCTGAACCTGCTGTCCCTGGTAGCTCTTGCTGTAATAATCGGTGTAGGGCTTGGCAAAGCTTGGCTCCTGGCGGTAGTAGGGTCCCGGGGCACCTCCATGGCCACCCTCAAAGTGCTCATGATGGTGATAGTAGGTCGCGGCACCCACTCCCTGGGGATTGTACTCGGGGAAGGTGTTTTTGCTGCCAAAGAGACCGGAGAGACCGCCACCGAAGGCTCCTCCGACACCACCTGGTGGACGGCAGAGCTTGAAGTAGGCAAACAGACCGGGCAGGATAATGGCAGCCAGACCCAGGATCTTCTTCAGACCAGCAATGCCCAGGATGAAGGGCAGGAAGAGCAGAAGCTTCAGCTTGAAGATCTTCAACACCAACAGAAGGGGAATGATCATCTTCTTAAGCTTCTTGCGGGCTGCAAGAAAAAGTGGGAATTAGTAAATGAGATTTGGGAAATATTTTAAAGACAAACTTTTGATATTTTGTTTTGCCAAAATAAATCAATATTGTCTTGGGGGACTTACAGAAATGTCCAGCACGCTGACCGTCATCAATGAGGTCCAGTTCACCATCAATGTCATTTCCAATGAAACGGGCCTCATAACGCCCGGCCTCAGTCAACTCCTCGGGCCACTCCAACTCCAGAGCCGTGGACTTGATGAAGCTGCAAGGAAAAACAGAAAAACGTGTCAAAGAATGAGCATTTACATTTTCATAAAAAATCTCATATTTTATGCATGAGCTCGGTCAACTTCGCGGGACCCAAATTAATTTGCATCCGCCACGAGCCGCAGTCATTTGGCTAATTGTGACAGCTTACCGTTCGGCCCTGCGCAGGGCATATTTCACCAGCTGATTCCAGTCATCGTCGTCGCCACGCGGCTCCTCCGAGTACTCGAAGGGTTCCTGGAGCAGGGAACGCTGCTGGGTTTCCGGCAACCGCACCACGCGTGCAAAGTCGGAGAGCCTGAGTAATGAGGGAATCGTTTTATTAACACTTGGCTCAAGTGGAATATTAATGATGCGAAACAATGGGATTGCTGTCCATTTAAACGAGGTTTTGTTATTAAATTTTTGGGAATTAAAATGAAGTAGCTATAATTTACCAAGTACTGATTAAGGTTAACTTGTGCCTCCTACCTGTACTGCTCCTTGTAGAAGATCTCGTCGAAGGTGTTCAGTGCCTGGGTCTTGAAGCACTCGGAGAGGTCGCCTCCCAGACAATTGCCATTGGTTTTTGACAAGTAGGGATCATTATCGTTGCCCAAACCAAAGATGCTCAGAAGGGAGGACCGGCCACGCTCCTCTCCAACTCCGGGCTGTTGCTGTAGAATCTGCTGGGGCTGCTGTGGTATCTGCTGGATCTGTTGCGGCTGCGGCGCATACACCTGCTGAACGTGACTGGAGGACTGCTGGTCGGGCAGCCGGAGACCTTCACCGGCGACCAGGCCGAGAATGGCCAGGAGTACAAGCGCTCTCATTGCCATGGCTGCAAGCGAGAGAAGAAGAAATGATTTGAGAAACACGTCCGTTGGTTTTCTCCCCAATCAGCCGATTGTTCCAGCCTCTTCGGCTTAAACACGCGATGTATTTATAAACTACTTTTGGCAACTGCTCATTGGCTTAACGGCTTAACAGATTGCCTCTCCGCTCACCATTGACACACTTTGGCGATGGCCCGCAGTCAATTAGCCGCTCACACGTAATAATAACTCTCGCTTTCTGGCCAGCTGGAGCCGCTGCCTGACTCTGTTTGCTCCTCATTGTTTACTGTTAACTCGGGTTTGCTCAAAATTTCTCGAGACGAGCTTTCTGCAGCCCAAAAAAAAAAAAAAACTACAGATAAAGGCCACAAAAGAAGCTGGCTGGTAAAGTGAAGTGAAGTGAAATGCAGGCATAGCGGACCGGTTTGGTGGTATTAACCCTTGGGCGTCAATGGGGCGGCAAATGCGCGTAATTGAATCCCGTGCCGAGGCACATAAAGAGCGAGCCTAAAGTGCTTCAAGAGGGTCGGTCCTGAATCCGGTTTAGCCAGAAGTGCAATAAAGCGTGCTTAATGCCAGGCTGCATGGACAGTGGGCTATAGCTTAGTGGTTTTCCAACCAAAAGTTGGTTTAGTTTGTGCCTTATTTGGCCCATACAATATCAAAAACTATTCAAAATTCGTTAACATTTTGTAAGCCATAAAAGGTATTACTTAAAGTGGGGATTGCCTTATGGTGGCTTCCTTCTGTGACCACTGTTTATGGCCATATACACATATAGCGCCCACTGAAATCGCATTCAGTTCGTTATGGTCGAGGGACTTCTTCGACCAGGTCCCTCTCACTTTCGTTTCGCCTCCTATTTGGGCCAAAGTCGGAATCGGACTCATCAACAGCTCGATTGTTTGGCAATACGCTTGTGGTTTGGGCCAAGTTCGAAGAGACCATCTACTGGGCCGCAAAACTTGTTGGAAGTTCAATGTCCAGGGAAAAAGACGACCAGCGGTGCTGTTAAAGTTTTTCTTGCGCCAAAGTATATGCAGCGATAAATGCTTTATGGCAACTGAGTAGAAAGTTTATGGCAACTACAAGACTCGCGCCCGAAAGCAGACAATAAGGAACGGAAATGATTACTTTTGCCCGAATAATAAAAGTGGGATTGGGCGGTCGCTGAAGATTTATGGATCACTGAATCAATTAATGATTCATGGGGAATATTTTGCGCAGTCAATGGTCGCCGGACGGGGGAGATGTCGCAAGCGAAACCGACTTTTGGTGGTCACTGTGTCGTGTTTGTTTGGCTTTTTGTTTTGCTTACCAATTTGAATTCGCCATTGAAGGTCAATGAAATGTGGATGGGGCGATGGTCGATGGTCGTTATTACAAAATACCATGGCAATATATATGGAAATGTAAGCTCTATCAGAGTGGAAGATACATAAATGTACACCTTTGAATTGCTCGTTGACTAGGATTAAATTCAGTGGAAAGAAATGTAAATAATGCACACTATTCATTGGATACTTTTTGCGGATGGTCCTTGTCAAAGTCAGGAAGCTTTACAAAAAATAGTTTCAAAATTCCCCTTTACTTACTTTTTATTAAGAGAAAGATGAACCCTATAAGTTCAAAGATTTAGTCTGGTTCTTTTTGAAGTTAAGGCACTTTGATGATTATATTCTATCTTCCAACTAACTTGGCTAAATATGTCTTTAAATTTTCCTTAGTCGTTCCTTTTAAATTAAATCGACCATCAGCCTTTCTTGGCCACAACTTTGCGCTCGTTTAAAATTGGTAATATTGGTGTTTCCCACATTCATTTCATTTGCTTATTACACAATTTTTTCGCAGCTCATTTCACTTCACTTCACTTGGCCGTGTTATTTCTTTTGCTTCGATTTTCCGCTGTTTACCTTTTGCTGTTTCCTATAAAGGCCTGAGGTGGTTTTGGACTGTGTGTGTATCCTTTCCGCTCTTCCCAAGCGACTGTGCTGTTGACTGCTTAAAAGCGACTGTGCCCTGGCTGCTGGCCGGCTAAGATTTTATATGAAATGCGAGAAGTGGCGAGCGGCAACAGCTAAAGTCGACGCTCGGGCAAAGTCAACACATGGAGACAATGGCCCAGACGCTGTCGCCGCTGGTTTTGGCCCACAACAATGATGATGGCTAAGAGGCAGAGATCTCAACGCGCTCGCGCTTGCGTTGCGGTAGGTTGTGGATACGATCGATCCCCCAGTTCCGTGGGTGAGAGACAACGACCTGTGTGTCCGGCTGTGCGTTCGGTCGTGCGCCTTGAGAAAATCCCAAAATTATTGTGGCGCACGTCGGGGCCTTGGCTTTAATTCGAGTTTGATTTAAAGAGTCAACGGAGTGAAGTGACTCATTCCGGGAAAACGTACGTCACAGCTGCCGGCAGAGGATTATGTAATTTTTGCCCTCTTGCCTCACTGACAATTATTACTTTTACTGCGAACTGGTTTTTGGCAACGCCCACGAGCCTGTAGTCGAGGGCGAAATGTGAACAAACCGTGCGGAGACGTATATGCATCTGACTGTGCATTTTCTGCAAAATGTTCAGTGGGGCAAGCTGGGGAATTTCCCCAAACCACTTGCCACCGAAATCAAAACAACTGGCTGGCATTACTGTGGCTTTTCCCGTTGCCTCGCTGGCACGATTTCCCACTGCCACTAACTGCAGACCTGGCCACAAACAGAAGCTTTCAGGTCGCGGATTGTTTCCGTCAGGGGTTGGACCACGAGGCTTCTGTTTTGTTGGACACATCCCGGGGCGGTGTAATTGAATCATCCACTTGGACAGTCCTCGCAGGGATTTGGCCGGCGGGGAAAATTTCAACAAACCGAAAATGGCATACCCACGAATGCAAAGGGAGATAGACGGAAAAGTTAATCCGAATGACAGTTTGTTGTTTGTTAAATAAAAAAAAAAAATCCATTTGAAAGGCTGATGGAGATTTTTCCTATAAGTTAAATGCTTTTACCGATGGCAGGTCAAAGCGGAAATAAAGCAAAAACTGTAATCCATTCAGCCAAGCCAAAAGTATACACTATTAATTGAATTAATTAAAAGCAATTAAAAAAGGCACTAAGAAGTTTGCGGTGTAATTTTAATTAACTTGACAGTTTGGAAGAGACTCTCATATATATATATGTAAGTGCCATCAATGTAATAGACTAAATGGAAATTACTAAAACTATTTAAGGAGTACAAACCTTTGGTTAGATACATTTATATAGAGATATGCAAAAGAGCTAGGATAATTAATTCTGCACGTAGTGTAAACAGATGAAAATACTACTGTGTTTACCTTTAATTATGATTCGATTATTTCCATAAAACAGCAATATCTGCATGGAGAACCCTGAAATGGATTTCAGCTCCTGTCAAACAAGCTTTTGCCTGCTTATTTTCACATCGACATAGAGCAATAAGAGTGAGCTGCCCCTCAATGCAATTCGAGTTTAGGAAAAACTTGAAAGGGAAACTGCAATGGTGCTTGTGGTACAACATTTATATTATTTTATTGATTATTCAGGAGGTTGAACAAATCTCTCCGATTGACTACTCGCATAACAATAACAGAATAAATATTTAAAAATAGATATTTAATGTAATAGAGTCGTAGGCTAGAAATAAATACTTAAAGAAATTCATCTAAATGGCTAAAAATAACAGCATCATCCAGTTATTGGCGCTCGCGCTAATTAAACTACGAAACAAACTTTCCTATTTACAGCATATTAATGAGAAGCCCCGCCCTAAACCGCCCCGCAACCCACACCCACCCCCGCCGACAGCTGCCGCGGTGGAGCGTCTAACGAACTTGTCTATATGGCTAGGCTATCTAAAGTGCGATTTGCATAATTACTATCCACGGACTTTTGACGTGACTCGAGCGAACTTTGGCGTCACCTTTGACGTCCCTTTTGACGGCTCCAACCCCCTGGCCCAGTCCTCTGTCTACGCCAGCTTACGGGCCTGGACCAGTTTGTTGATGTCGTTGTAGGTGGACAGCATGGCCGGGTTCTCAAAGTCCTTCAGCTCCTTGCACTTGGCAAAGGACTGGTCACAGTCGACCCCATCCTGACCGTCCTTTGCCGCTCGCATGTACTTAAAGAACCGCAGGATGTCCGGGTTGTCCGAGGTCGGCTTGCGCAGCTCATTCAGCTCCCTGGAAGCAAAGTGGATTAGAGTGGTCAAAGTTGGGTGCACAAAGAAGGGTTTCGGCACAACGCGAATTAGGCCAAGGTGAGAGAGAATGACCTGCTCAGTTTCAAATGAAATTAATCTCGGCATACCCTCAGGCTGGTCGTGAAACTCACCTGCTCAGTTGGGCGGAGACCAGGTTGCTGTATGGGGCATACTTTGCGGGGTTGGCATACATCAGGCAGATCAGTTTCTCCCGACACGCCTCGTTCTCTGGTTGGAGCTTTAGCTGGGCAAACACGGAGTCCAGCCGCGAGAGCAACGGACTGTAGAAGGGATCGTAGTTGGAAAGCAAAAGCGATGAACTGGGCACCTTCTGGAAGCTCTGGAAAGTGTTCATCACCGCCGGTGTGGGCTTCTTGGTCATTCCGGGAGCTCCGCCGGCACTCAAGGATCCAGACATGCTCTGCGAGTTCTTAAATGAGGCAGCACCGATGCTCTGCAATGCGCTCAGATACGTATCCTGCATCATCTGCTGGCCTCCGTAGCGGGAGAGGGTGGCCTGATTCAGCGAATTTCCGTTGACCTGAGCATATTGCGCCTGCTGCTGGGATGCCTCTGCGGGATAACAAAAATAAATACATATATATTTAAAATTTTCAAAGCACATTGCTTTATGCCTCACCTGCATTGTATTCGTAGCCAGCTGGTGTCTTCCCCTCGTCGGCCATGGAAAACTTGCTGTCGTCATCAAAGTTCACGCTGTTATCCCGGAAGTCCAGTTCCTGCGGCGGTTCCATGGGGCGAATGAACAAAGGCACCGAGCCAGCCGAACCGGATGTGATGCCTAACCCACACGAAAGATAGAGTTAGTTTGGGACAAAAATAGCAACCGCATCCTTACCCTTTCCGATCAGTCTGCTGACGCTGCTGATGATGGTCGGCAGGAACATGGCCAAGAGCACACTCTTAAGAACCTGCAGGCCCATATAAATGGGCCACATTACCTTCTTTAGGCCTTGAAGTAAAAAATTAATAAAATTATTGGTTTTTTAGGGAATCCTTTATCATATCTATTTACCACTAAAGAACAGCAGTCTGGCACTTTCAAATGCCCTTGGAACATTGAGCTCAACATTGGTGTCCTCCAAGATGCTGCGAGCAGTTCGCTTTCCCTGCTCCGTTTGTGGATGCGAGTGGTTATGCTGCAGGGCCAAGACCAATCCAGGTGTGGGCTCAAACTTTCCCTTACTGAAGAACTGCTCCACGTAGTCCACTAGAAGATCTTCCAGGCCTTTTAGCTCAGCTTCGATTGAGGCAGTGGTGTTGAGTGGTGTTTCGACTGTTGTACTTTTGGGCTGTTCCTTCTTGGGCGCATCCGACGGATGCTTAAAATTCCTACGCCGCATTGCCACTGTCAATCGGAGATCACTCTCACTCTCTACAGGCTGAAAGACACGATATTGTCCGGACTTGGTGAAGACATTGCGGGATATGAACTCCGGACTGATGTCGATGGGCAGGATGGGACGAAAGGTGTCATCGTTTCGCGGTTGACCCGCCATCGTGGTAAGGGGTTGACTATAGGGTGCCAGTGACGCCATCATCCCAACTTCACAAAGAAGGATAAGTCCACAGAGAAGCGAGCTGCATCGCCGCTTTCTGTGGCTATTTGCTTTCAATTTCGCTCCCACGATGTCCTGGCTCCGCATTTTCATTATCCTCCGCCGGGCAACTGCACTTGCATGCCAAGGTTCCCTTCCTCGATTCACTTCAGTTTGCTGTAACATCATGAATAATTGTGTCAGTGAAAGGGGGATTGGGTTCTCTACCTCCGAGAACTCAGTACACGAATAAATAACTTTACAGAACGTGACTGGCCACCGAAAAAAATTCGCATTACGTGCGTCCTTGCAGGAATAAAGGTATATACAGATACAGTTGCAAAGAGTGCTGCAGAAATTCAGAGAATAATCAATGTGAATCAAAGTGAAACACAGTTTTTTTACTTTTATCAAGTTGTCATTGTTAAGAATAAAGTAATGTATGGGCACTGAATCAATCTTCATCTTAAAAACCTGTGAAAAATATGCAAGCAATCATTACCCCATAATTATTTGTTAATATTTTGGAAAATTAATGCACATTAGCTTGACACATCGCTTTTTCCCCAAGTGCATCACATATTTATTTTTCAATTTAAATTACAGAAAATCATAACACTGACTAATGAGTTAATTACAGCTTACATAAACTTCATAACGTTAAAGTACATGTTTCGTGTTGTTTTCACTTTTATCGTGTATACGAAGTTAAAAATTATAATGAGTGGACTCCCTTGAAATGATAACAATTATTTTTACATTTGGCAAATTAGTTTTGGATTATTTTCTTCTAGTGCAATTGTCACAATGGGATTTCAAGTATTTTATTTAATTAACATGTGAGGTGGACATCTATAGAAAATATCCTCAGCCCACTCTCTATTTGAATGTTTTCCACTAGTGGCTCCATTAAGGGAGAGTTTATCGTTTTCCGAAACAATTGGCACACTCAAGTCTGCTATCTGATTTCGGATAATTTCTCAAAGTGCACTTAAAACCAAGTTGTTTGCTTTCAGGCCCGACGCTAATCAGCCGGAGCAAGACGAATGATTTGCTGTTACCCATTTGATGGGTATCTCAATTTGAGGGGCTCGTGCCCGCCAAACCCCCCGTCAACTGCCTCCCATGCTCCCTGGCATTTCCCCTTTTAAAAACAGCCTCTTTTCGGCACACAAAGCACGTCGCCAACTTTTTATTTGCCTTTACCATTCGTCGCACTCGTGTTTTGTGACACGCCGCACGCTATATGCCATACCGTACCCCCGTACGTATACGTTATATTCCGTCCACGCCCGATGCGCGCTTTGAGGCTGCGGAAAGCTCCGCTGGGTAAAAGTGAAAATGTACACAGTTTTGTTTGTGTTTACACTTCGCAAGCGTTTCAGATGCGTTGGCGCGCTACCCTCAAGACTTAAAGTTTCAGCCCAGATCACGTTATTTTCGTGTTGCATTTTCACTTTCGTTTTTTCACAGACGAACGAGAGGTATGCCGCGGAAAAACTATTACAGAACTGAGACCTGAGTGTGTTGGCAGCGGCAAGCCACAAATTGCGCTCAACAATTGGACTGTAGAAGGCGAATCAGAGAAATTCTTCTTTTGCAGTCAGTAAAACTAAAGATTCGACTGCAGTCGACTGTAAACTTAATTAAAAACACACATTCTGGCAGGTATTAAGAATTTCTCAAAGTAATTATCCGCACAGCTTTAATGCTTCCGGCGCTGGAGAATTGGATGTTTCTGAAAGCAGCACTGAACGTCAGATTACTCTTCTCCTTTGCTGCCAATCAAACTGCATTGAAGACTTCACTCTCAGGTAATTTCCAAGTCAGAGGAAAGCATGAGGCGGAAATTAAAAAATTAAGAAAATGCAGTGGCACCCTTCTCATCATGTCAAAGTAAGAGCATTGTAAAGCAAGACTGCTGTTAAACTCACGGCAGATAAATAGTTTCTCCCGTAAAAGGAATTCTTAAGTTCTTAAAAATATTTTTATAGAAAAAAATATTAAAAACAAGAAAAAATCTAACTTTGGGAAATTAGTCACTTAGACAAAAATAAATTCATGGGAAACATATCTGTATAATGAGTAAATTTAGGTATGCAAACATCGGCGTTTCTTAGTTAACTTCTGTTATTGTAATAATGTTATTATAATATGGGATCGAATAGCATTCCCTCTCTTTCTCTTTCTCTGTCTCCAACTCTCTATCTCTATCTGTCTGTCACTCCCTCTCTCTCTCTCGCTCTGTATCTTTAGAGGGAAACCTTTCTCTCAGTCTCTCTCTGCCTACTCTAAAAAGTTATCTCTTTCTCTCTCTCGCTCACTTTCTCTGTTCTCTTTACTCGGCAACTATAAATACAGGCACTACCGTCCTACAGACCTCATTCTGTCCGCGGCCTTCCTGCTGTTTACATCTAGAGTGATAGTGATAGTGCTCACCCTTCGAACCAAAAGTATCATCTGACCAATGGAATGCTTCCGGATAATCAAGAAGAAGCTCACTTCGATGATGAATCGCCTTATTGAAGTCTACTGCGATTAAACTTAACCATTACAATTACATAGTTTAAATGACATATAAAAAATGAAGCTCAGGCCATTAATTCATTTTGGTTTGTTATAATATATCAATATTTGTGATTTACCCAAAATATTAGCATATAGAAATATTGATTTAATATACTTAAAATGCACATATTTTAGAATGAAATTGCAAGGGTATAAAAATAATTGAATTCATGACTGACACAATTACTTATTCACTCTCAATAAAAGTTCCTCACAAACCCAACTGAATGAAAGGCAACTACTTAAGCTTCACAACTGAGTCTGAGTGACTGACGATGGTTGCTTCTCCTCAAGTGCATAGGGAAATGGGAAAATTTCCCATGACAGGCTGCGTTTTCTGTTGTTTTGATCCACAAAACCGCTCAGCTCACTTTGTTTGTGTCTTCAGATGCATCTGGGGATTTAAGCAGACAGTGGGCTAATAACTCCACCCTCTAATGGAAACATAAAGATCGTTGCCAAGCCATTAGGGAACTTCATTTATCATCTGCTCTTTTTGTTAGGTAAAAATTCCTTTGTGCAGCTGCTGTGGGGGGGCTGTCTAAATATTTCATCAGGGGATTTAAGCTCTATGCTCTCTCCCGGCATTAATTATTCGGGGTCGTGGCATTGGCAGCATGCAAATTAGTTTCCAACATTACAATTAGAACCTCTATTCCAGCCCTTTGCCAAGCAGCCGCACCCACTCGTCGACTGCGCTTAGTTATAGTTTGTGCTCGGTCTACCTTCATGCTCTAATATTCCGCTCTGATATAGTTGAGGCAAACTTTTCGCCGAAGCAGCATTTAATCAGATTTCTGCCCCCCGCGCATTACTACCAAGCCCGCTCTTAGCCCGTCTTCTCTGTTTTGCCATTTTCTATTCTCCGCTCGCTCCGTACAGCGGCGCCCATCCGAAACGAAGTTTACCAATTAAGTCACAAAAGTTTGCCGAGTTCTGACATCCACGCCCCTTTGATCTAATGCAAGCCGATGTCCCAGACGCACATGCTCCACATTGGTTAGCCGGAGGGGTCATGGGGCTAATAAGCTGGCCATCATCGTTTGCGACACGCCAAAAGACCTGCGAAGCCACCAAGTATAAAAGTTAGACAATGCCAACCAGTTTTGGGGAGTGAGGCTCGTTGACAAACGGCGTCCACTAACGGTCGAAAACGCTCGTAAACGCGCCATGCTGGCTGCATCGTAACAGTAAGTATGTGACATAACTGTTAACTCCGTCTCGGGCACCAAGAGGGGCCAAGAACAAGTTGGCCTAAAGAGCCATTTACCCATCTGTGGTGGCATGAACACAGGTGCACTGACCCACAGATACCCTGCTCCGCTGCCTAATAAATGGATTATCATGACAGTGAAGGTCAGCTTCCGCTTAAAGTCTAGCTGGGTTCCAGATTGTTGGAAAAGTTTGTAAAGAAAGTCAGAAAAAAGTGTAAAGGAAATTAAATTAAATTGGAACGGGTTTCCCGCAAAGTATTTAAAGTTCTACAAAGAAAACTAAAAGGTGTCTAGTATACGTATCCTTGTACATACTTTGTAATTACCTAGAGAAGAAATTCTGTTTACAAAAGCAAAGTCAGTCTTAAAAGTCAAACACCTTTCAAAACTTTACTGCAAAACTTTCAAGACAAGTCTGTCAAAATACAGACAGTTTGGTGTCTGTGAAAGCCACCATTCCCCCAAAAGATACACTCCAATGTCGTTAAGATGACAGAATCCAGCAAACCATATTGATTGTAGCAAAATTTTCTGTTCTAAGCACTTTAATGGGTGTCAGAGCTTTAAGTCAAACATTGAGCCACGTTCTTCGCGGCTTCTACGAGCTGTTATGTCGACTTAACTGCTCTCACTCCATGCGGAATAATGGCTGGTACGTGAGGAACTTGGTTTTGGTAGAGACCTTTTTTGAACTGGAATGGCTTTAATCGATTCCCGCTGAGGACTTTCGATTTCTACGCAAAACCCCTTGCCCAGCTTGCAGTACAACCGAATCTCTCTGGGGTTGCGTCAAATGGAATGTTGTTTTCGCCAATTAGCCACAAATTTAGCCGGAATGTTAGCGGCCCATTAGGCGCTGATTGTTTTACGGGGCGTTGTTGTCACTCCCCGACTGGCACTCACTCGAATTGAGTGATTTACATGCGTGCCTAGCACCTGAGCTGTTTGCTTTTGGCCAAAAGCAGAGAGTCTGCTGATTCGCTTGGCTTTAGAAAGTCTGCTGGCATTCGTGTCATTAAGTCGGTGCCGTAAACCCAAATTAAAATCGTTCGCAGTCGCAATGATGCAATCGCTGCCCTCAGTAAAATTTACCCAAATGACATTTAATTCACAACCACATTAATTCCGGGCTCAAGTGACCGTGAAAGCGTGTAACAACTTGCGAGGATGTCTGTTTGGGGCGACATTACTTCCATATGGAAACTAACTCTAAGAGCGACCTGCATCTGCAGCTGTCGGCTGGATGATGAGGCGAGTGCTCTCAACAAGAAAGTTGCTTCTTCAGCATACATATCTTTTGGCCAATGGGATTTAAAAGCTGGCGAAATGAAAGTGCGAGTTGGGCAAGTGGAGAGCAACTTGGCAGCCCACATGACTCACAAGGATGTGGCCCCACTTCCCTCAAAATCAACACTCGCATCTCACTCAACTGCACCACTAACCACAATTCCATGGCTCACTGGAAATTAATATATGTGCGAAGACCACATTAAAAGCCAATGATATGTACACAGGAAAAGTGCAGATTGGACTGGTAAATGGGTTCAAATACTGAATCTACATAATATGTGTATTTAGAGTATCTAAACCATGATCTTTGCGATGGATTTCTTTCTGTGATATCTTGAACACGTTAAAGATAGCAATGAAACCACTGATTTTTCTGGGCGTCTTTATCATTTTCATGCTTTCATCTGGCAACTGTAAACACCGCTTTAAAAGGTATCATTTTTTGTCTGTGTACTCCACTCCTCCACTCCTCCGCACGTATCATTTTCATAATTTTGCAGTTGATCGACTGAGACGGAGGAGGGCTTTCTTCGACGCATTTTTACGCGCTGTGAGCCGAAAAAAGAAAGTATCGTTAAACATTTGGCGACGCTTCGATTGCCGGCCGAGAGCTGGGAAGATGCTGCTGACTCCCTTTTGGCCAGTTGGGGTAGGCCAGTTGCTCTCGCAGCTTACGTAACACCTCTCGACAATTAATTACGGAGCAGCAAACCACTAAGTTGGCCCACACAGTGTGAGGCACAAAGATACTGAGATACCAAATAGAAATGCAGACGAACGGGAAATGAATGGACTTGGGCAGCAACAACAGTGTCGACAGTGAAATGTTAACAATCGGTTTCTTTTTGTCTTGTATGTTGGATAGCTGCCTTGGCCCTAGCTCATTAATTGTCCGAATTAAAGCTCGTGAATAAGAAGCTGTATTGAGCATCTCTACGATGATTAACGATGCCACTCACTTGGGCTCATCAATTACAACTCAATTTACCTCTGCCCCTGGTTAATTCCTTTCGGGGAGTGTTGTCGTCTGTCTCCTCAGCTTAATTCAATTTTGTTGGCTCGTCGACTCGATTTTTGCATTCGCCGAAGAACTTTCCTTGCCAGAGACTTTCGCCTCGATTCGTTTCGTTTCTGTGTGTTTCGAAATCGGAACTGCATTCACTGCTTGCCGCGGTGCAGAGGCTCTGGCTCTCCGTTTTGGCCAGGTGAAAATGCTGGCCGAAACCCGTTCACTCACTTTGCTCACTTCCTTTGTCAATGCAACTGCCGTTTGCTCGTTTCACTCTAACCGCACCGTAAGTCCACTGGACACCACACACAATGCCCGATCCCGATTAAATATATACATATATAGTGCAGCACACGCCACTTTTTTGCCCATATATTTTGGCAGTTATCTTAATCACGGGTCCACAGCGACCGCTTTTTAGCCAACTGACTTGTCCCGGCTTTCTCGTGCGCTTGCGTCTGCCGCGTAGCTCGCGATGATTTCGACTGCCGGGCGAAAGCCAGCGAACGGCTCTCGGCGGGTGCGATCAACCAGTTTGATTGCCTCGCTTTCCGTAAGGCCTTACGTTGCACCACGTAAGCCGGCCGAGCAGATAACGTACAAAAAAGCGACTTAAGAGCACCATGGCTTAAGAGAGAGCCAAAAGCAGCGGTCCAAGGCGAACAGCTGGTGGCTCAGGCGACATCTACTCAGAAAAAAACATTGTTTACGGAGGTAATAATATTTAAAAGAATTAATACCTAAGTAAAATAAAATAAAAATAAAAATAAAATTAATAATAATATTTGTTTTCTTTATTGAAAGTTTTCATTTTCCTGATATTAATTTTTAAGATTACAAGCCAAGTCTTCAAACAAATTCAATAGACCTTAACGAATACATTTCATTCCAAATGAATTACAAATTATTAATGTTTCATATTATATTTTTCAATGTTATTTATTATAATGAAGCTCTTGTCTCTTCCTTTCAGTGTAATTTTCTCTAGCCAATTGGAAAATTAGTCGCTAATGAAAACAGTTGCTCTCCCGGACAGCATAGAAAATGTAATAAAAATAACCCTGTCTCCGTGAAATTGCTTGCCGATTTTGTATATGAATATATATACATACATATGTATAAAAATATTATGAATCGCTGGATATACGCCATGTCATGGGACGAAATCGCATACTAACGGAAAACGGTCAGTTAGTTAGTCACTTCGGTCAGTCGGTCGGTGATTTAGTCAGACTTTCGATTTTATTTGCCCCAAGTGGGAAGCTGCGGGGAACTCGGTTGCAAAGAAAAAACTTGGCCAACAGTTGCCACAAAACTTTATTTAATTTGTTTTAGTTTAGTTTTTGTTTGAAGTATTTCCCCGCCAGAGGCATCAGATAAAGTTTTGAAAAAATCCATGGTCACATTCATAATTTCAACTCATTAAAAGTATTAAGTGGGGCAAATTGCAAACTAAGTGGTGTTTCAAAATAATGTATTTGTATTAGAGATCTATCTCCTTCTGCTTAAAGTGTATAGTTTAAAATACACCCGAGTTAAAGCTCTAAACTCCCTGAAAAAGATATACATTTTCACATGAATAAAGCAGGAAGTCCTCCCTTCATTCTGTTTGGTTTCAACCCACTTTGGCCTTTTTGTACAAACAATAATAAGTTGCTGGGAGCGCACATGTTGTTAGCGGCATTGTCGTCCTGGGGATTATAGCATTAGGGATGCTGAACACCGAGGCAACATGCAACATGCAACATGCATCATGCATTTGCTCACATCTGCGGACCATTTTCGATTTCTATAAATATTTAAGCTGGACTAGTTCAGCTGTGTGTTAAGTGTGAGCAGATTTTCACTTACTTATTTTGATCGGTGAACGGGTTTCGTTGGCCGGTTTACGCATGAGAAAGTCGTCGTTAAGAATTGGCCAACTGAGCGTCACATTGTTATTAATTTCTGGTGACAAACTTTGCCATTGACTTGTGGCTAACAAGCGGAAACGCCCCATCCCACCGGGACAGTCCACTGTCAGGCCATGAAACCCCCGAACCACTGAACCACTGAGCCACTGAGAAGCTCAAAAGCCAAAACGAAACGAAAGCCAGTTTATGAGACCGCAAAATCAATAACCGCTCTCAATGCAACCAACCTCCGGCAACAATGGCAACCAGTAATGTTTTCTAAAAGCCCATCGCAAATCGGGGCCAGCTTCTTTGCGTAGACAATGCCTGAATTATTGGCGAACAACCGAGTATTGGCCATCCATGCCCACGAGAAAGTGCTCGGAGCGTATTCATTTAGCGCCTATTTAAAAAGCCGCGAAAGATGTCAAAGAAAGCCCACAAATATAAATCTGAAAATCCTCCATCATTGCCAACTGACATATGTCCAACAGCAGCCAGGGAGAGATAAGTGCCCTGAACCCTGGAAACTATTATGTTAAATCTCAGGCTTTACACTACACAGAGAAAATAATGCCTCTTCAGTTTTAATTACATATGTTTTGTTTATTTATTAGGTATTTAACCTGAAATATAGCAATTTATATCAATACATGAATGAATATTTATTTAAACTGATTTAAGCATTATAGTTTCATGAGAAAAAGATTTTCTTTTGGTGCACAATTCGAATCTGATTGGTATGCGTCAACGCTTCCACACAAGAGAGGGCCTTCGGTTTGCCGCAAAAATGCTTCGGCTGCTGCTGCTGCTGTCAATATTTGCGAACCTTTGCTTTGCATTTTATTCCAGTCATTAATTTCACTTTTACTCATAAATATGCTAATTGCCAGCTCATGCCGGTTCCGTAAAATGTTGTTAGCCGGCGACTCTATCGATTTTGAATGGCACAACTCGCACCCAGAATGCTTTTTCGTTGGCATTGCGCAATCTGGCCCCGAGAAGAAAGTGAAATGGGCTTTCGTAATCAGCACCCTATGATGCTAATACTGATGGCAATGATGGTGCGAAGAGCGGAAGGTGTGACCGTGACAAAAAGTAAGGCAAACAACACTTTCACAAGCCGCAAGTGCATAAGACCGTTACGGGACGTCAAAACAAACCGCCAACTGGCCGGGACGTTGACAGTTTTACAGCAGGCCAGCGGCCAAAAGCTACTAAGCCGCCTCACCTGTCGCATCTCGAATTCCCCAAAGAAATTTTTAATTAGTTTATTTTATTTCATTTTTTTTTTGGTGTTTCATTTTCCGCGCTGCCTGGTGGGAACATTTCACTTTCTGTGTGACACATACATAATTCACTGTCCCCTGCGGTCAGCCGCACGTCGGCGACCTGTGAACCGAGCTGCGAATATATATATATAGTAAGATGTTATACTGACTGACCTTTCGCCTGAGGTGCCGCGTAGGCACTAATTGAATTGAAATCATATACTAATTTGCTTCACCTGACGCCCATCTAGAGAGCAATAATGAGGTTTGTTATTAGATGACTCGAAACAAAATAAAGTTGCCGAGGCTTGGTATCTTTATTTTTTCTCCCATTTTCAGTTAAATTATTTGCGAGTACACAGATATTTTCTGTACACTTCCGTATGCGTGCGTCTATAAATAGGCGGGATATTCACAGTTCGGTGGCGTATACGCTATTTTTATGGGTCGTAGGCTTTTATGATGCGGCTGCTTGAGTGTCTCGGACGCACAAAAGTGTCAAAGGTTAAGTGTTGGGCAGGTCAGCAGCTCTTTATGGCTGCGGTTGTTAAACCCGTAAAAGACATGTCCGCACACATTCTAAAAAACCAACACATTTCCATTTTTAGCAGACATAAAATGGCATCATAAGCACTGAAAAGTGGCAATACTTGGGTTTGTTTTGCTAAGCGTTGATTAAAATCAAATATATTGATTGATTTTCATTCTATTTATATGGCCATAGCAATTAATTTTACCTCCTTTGGTTATTTATTAAGTTCGAACCTGAATTTATCCATATATATATCCTTTAGCAATCCTGTTAAAGCGGTATTTCCCTTAGAGTTTTCCAGCGGACACCTAAAGAGAACTCTGATTTGGTATTTTAGAAACTCTTTGCATACGCCCATTAATAAAAACGTTGTTTTGTAGGATTTGTAAACAACATTTATTAAAATATTATTTAGCTTTTGTGTATAGCTCGCCGTTGGCAAGCACTGAAACTTTTTCAAATTTATTTATAGCAGATTGGACTGAGATTTATTTTCAAGTTTCGGCTTATACATAGTTATTGATTAACCTAGTTTTAGAGAATAGCAGACAGAACATCAATTATGACTAATCTTCTTTCAGCTTATACGATAACAGGAAATAAAGAGCTCTGTGAGAAAACGCAAATGAAAGTATTTCCTAGGAACTCAATCGAAGTCTTAACATTACTCTACTTATCAAATACCCGAAATTCAATTGGGGGCTCAATCAATTACTTTCCGGCATTCGATACTGAAGTGAGCAAAACTAAAACAGGCATTAGACTTAGTCCAACAATGATAGATGATAGGATGATGGGCAATGAGATGCGAATAGGTTACATATTTCTGTTCCTCGGGGCGCTTCTTAATTTTAAGTGTAACTCAGCTTGGCTTTGGATCACTGGACAATATGTGTTTACATTAAATTCTAAGAGCGAGTTGCAGGTCGCATCACTCGAACACCGCCTCCCGCCGCCCGCTGCTCCTGGGTTCCTGGCCGACTTAGTACTGTTCCAAACTGAAATTGCGTGACAAAATGCAGGTCATAATCGATGGTCGATGCTCGGCGGTAATTATGTCACAACACGGCAACGACAAGAGCTACAACCTGTCACGGCGACGACAAAGGAAACTGTGAGGCGCATGCATACACTGAGAAAATTTGTGTTCTTAAATCATAGCCAAACTGGGCAATCAATGTTTCAAGCACCCAAAAGGGAAAGCCCTTCAAAACAGCCATGAATATACATATAGTATATTGCAGATACTTTAAGGACTTTGTGAAGAAGAATTACTTGTAAAAGGACAAAAGAATTACCCTAAATCAATCTACTTTACGTGTGGGCTTTTCCCTCAGTGTGCACTTGAAATTGCAGTCGCAGCTGGAACAATTGAAACAGAAAGAAGAAACAGTAGTGGCGCATCGCATAGACGCTTGGAGCATGCAAATCCAATTAGCCCCACGAGCGTATACAGAGAAGAACGTGTTTTTTGCCGGCGGTACACAAGGTATCCGAGCCTTTGGAGAGGCGACATGCTGTACCCTGGGACCTGGAGCTTAGGGCTACGTTCTCGTCGTTCTTTACCGCGGCATCAGCTTGGTGACTTCCGAGGGCATGGGATTCTCCGTGAGTGCCACCGATTCGGTTATGGCGCTGCGCAGTCCGCACTCCTGGTGACCGGTCATGAAGTCGGTGGCCGCCATGCTCCCGCCACCGGCACCGCCGCCTGGTGCCCCGGATTGGGCGCCGCTTTGA